CCCCATATTTTTTTTCGCGTGTCAAACGACCCGCTCATCCCATCTGCACCCCTACCCGCCAGGTACACCCCGCCAACATCTCTTCTTTTTTTTGTGCACTCGCTTCTGTTTGTGTAAAAAAAAAAGAGCACAAAATATGAAGCACGTGTGTCCTCCCCCCTCCCCCTTAGCCGGATTTCCCTCTAAGTCCGCTTTTTTCTCTTTTTCTACATAGCCAAGCCGGGCATTTGATCAACCAAGTAAATAGAATGTACAAAGCTATGGTGGGTAGCTAGACGTATGTGGCTGCCAATTGGAGATTTTAGCATCCCGTACGGCTGTGCAGATCATTTGCAAGCGCGGCTTCGACGCCACACCTTGCTACACACCTCGTTTTACTTACCTTGGGTTGGATTCACTCCACTTGTTTGGTATTTGTTGTATTTCTGGGATGAGACATGCTGAGTGGTTGTTGGCTTATACAAAAGGGGCAGGTGGGGTGGTTTTTTTTTGGTGGAGTGGAGGAGGGGGAGGGGCGTTCTAAGATAGGTGTGGTGAAGCGAGGTGGTTGGTGGGCCGGTGGGTAGTGGGATTAGGGTTATCTTCGGGGAATTTCTGTTTTAGCTTCGTTTAGTTGGGTGTTGGTGATAGGTTGATTATGAGGTGAATTAACACTTAGTGTTTTTTCTTCTTCTTTCGTTGTTATTTGCTGCTAGGCTAGGTGTGGGAAGTAGGGCGATAGGTGAGTTTCGTGCTTTTCGACGGGTCGATGGTTTCGTATGTTTCAATGTTTGAACTGGAATTGTTGGGGGGTTCTAAACTTTGGGGGCTGGTTTGAAGAATGGGTTGCTGCGCAATTTAGAGGAGATGACAGCGTGAGAAGTGCAGACGGTGCATGCGACATCATGCAAGAGAAGTTGGAATAGTGAGTATTATTGGAACTAGCTTTCCACAGGTGAGTAGCGAACAAACCATGAATCTTCGAGTCCTTTACCGTAGCCTCCCAATGTTTTATCCGATTATGTTAAACCTCCTCCTTATTGTCTCTGTTGGATCCTGACGCAGGAGTGGTTGGATCAACAGGAAGCAGTCTGCCAAAGTTAGCCTCACCAGACATTTCTGGAGCAGAGATACATACACAAGATACTACGGCTTTGTTCCTGACTTGCTCTGCAGTGCAGGTTGTGACACAGGAGGTTTCTTTTTGAGTAGATGCACAAAACATTTTGTTTACAAGGGATCCTGTTTGCTCGCAAGTAATTTGTAAAGTTTGTGCTACTGCAAGCTGCGACAGGAGGGCGACAGCCAGAAAAGTTGCGGAGAGTAGCTTCATGGTTGCGACGGTGAAGTGAAGGGAGGAGGTAAATGGGATGGTTCGTAATGAACAAGCAGCGCTCCAGTATGCACATTATTTATATACATCACTCAAGATCAGTCTATTCCCCAAGCAGATATTTTTATCTTTTGGTATAATTAATGATAGGGATAAACGCCAAGAAAGTGTCTGTGTCAAGAGCTGTGCAGGGGTTTAAAATGCATGTAAGATTTTGGACGCCTCAGCAGCGATACATGTTGTCATCTTTGCTTTTGGCTTGGCGTTATTTGCCTCTAATGCTATTGCAATCAAAACGATGATTGGAGCGTTGTGGGCACGACCTTCAACTACTCTCGTATCTCAACGCACTCTGAACTCGATCTCACCGCAACTTCGGGCAAGACTTTAGCCAGTTGCGTTTTTTTCTTAACAAGCAATTGTCTACGTGTATATGTTAGCATGATTCAAGTTTTCCATATGTGAAATACATACACAGCAGGCAGGTTTCCCTGCAGCAATTGTACCCTGATCACATGTTGCTGTGCATTTCTTTTGTACACCGTTTGGACACGTGCGCGTGTTCTCGTACGTAGTGTATGTAGTACAGTACCTACAATAGGAAGTTGGCTGAGGTGGTTCCTGCGCAGCAGTAGAGCCTGCGAGTAGGACTATTGTGAAAGTAAAAAGTGTAGAGAAGGATTTCATGGTTATGACAGTAGAACGACTCGGACGAGGAAGGAGCTTGCAGTAGGAGGCAAGTAGACAGTTTTGGTGAAAATCTTCTCACTTAAATAAGACAACTACCAACACTTGACGATCCCTATTTTTCTGCTATTTTCTCGGTGAAACTAAGTTTTAGTAGCGCGGCGCTGCGTAAGCATATTTAACACATAACCTGGGAGTCTTGGCGCGCAAAGCAGGCGTGTAGCTTTACGGTTGTAACTAACTTAACGTAAGATCATACACTTCAGGGAGATAGAAACGAGGACTTGTGAAACAAATATTATTGCAACTTACTATATAAAATAAATGTGTACAGATACTATCGTTTACGCATCGTAATGGGTAGTTGAATGCTTCTATGGTATGACAGCCCTGGTAAGGTTAGCTCTTATCATTGGTAGATGTTCCGGAAACAGAAACTCTAGCGGTATGTAGTGACTGTACTCATCACTATTACGTAAAAGCTCGGAGAGATTTAGGGCTGAGGAGAGATTGTAAATGGAGTTACGCAATAAGAAAAAACCAATAAAAGGAATAATGATGTTGATGAGTTCTAGATTTCCTCTGCAGATCCTCTACCTTTACCATACTTGCTCATTGACGAATTCTTCTATAGCACTGGAATATGTAATAGTAGAGTAGATTGTTCAAGTACACTATTCTGAGTGAGGTCTCATTAACTTTTAAAAGCGATGTTTGGATTGTTTGCACCAAATCTCATTTCAATGGCAAGTCGTCTACAGCAGAATCTTGGATACATGCTCAGTAACAATGACTTAGTATGAGCTCATCTATCCTCTTCGAGGGCGTACTGTCATCCATATTGTGGGAGATGTAGAGAAGAAGACATTGTGATTGTAAGAAAAGAAGGATAATTATTGAAAGTGGTTTGGACCTTGTGTGACAATCTTTAGCTTTATACAATGGCTAAAAGAGGTGTTTACGCAACTATTAAGTCTAAATTTTAGAGTTTATATGCATATATACACCTGTGTATAAGATCTAACGCAAGCTGCTTGTTCTACTACATTGTACTTAATTATGGATAGTCGAATGGACTTTGAGAACGTAGTGGCTAAAACGAGGGGTACTAGTAGATATCGAGTATCGATAACACGCAAAATTGATTACAGCAAGGCAGGATTGACAAGCCAAGCATGCCTACCACATGTATTTAGAACCGAGGTACATTCCCTGAAGTTACTAAGTAAAATAGGACCGAAACATACATACCAGTACCTCGCAACCATCCATTCCGCAAGCAGTATTTATACGGGCATCAAAATGTCATTTCCAACGGAGATAACTTAACCCCGACCTAAAGTACGTACATCACCCCTCCCAATACACCACTACCCCACATTCCAATTCCTTATTTAACCTCCCCTCGATTCCTCACCAGAAAAAAAAATCTCAATCCTCCTTCAAAGAAACAAAATGTCCGCCTTCCGCCCCTCAGCCCACGCCCTCATAACCGGCGGCGCCTCGGGCATCGGCCACGCCATCGCGCGCCTCTGCCTCTCACACTCAATGCGCGTCACGATAACCGACACCAATGAAACCCTCCTCTCCCAAGCCTCGACCTCGCTCTCCGGAAATCTAACCTGCATAGCCGCAGACGTAACATCGCGCTCCGACTGGGCCTCCCTCAAACAGCGCATCGGATCCGACATCGACCTCCTCGTGCTAAACGCCGGTATTTCGGGAAAAGGCACATGGGGCGATGCCGAGTATTTCGATAGTATCCTCAGTACGAATCTGGGGGGCGTGGTGAATGGGCTGAATGCGTTTGTGCCGGTGATGCGGGAGAAGGAGGGGGCCGAGAAGGCGATTGTGATTACTGGGAGTAAACAGGGGATTACGAATCCGCCGGGTAACGCGGCGTATAATGCTAGTAAAGCAGCGGTTAAGACGCTCGCCGAGCATTTGAGTTTTGATCTCAAGGATACGGGTGTTGGTGTGCATTTGTTGGTTCCGGGGTGGACGTTTACACCGTTGGTGAGTTTCGGATTTGCTCCCTTTTGAGTGAGGAATGCTCTTTTTGAGACGTGTGATTGCTGATGATAGGGTGGTTAGGCTGGAAAGGTGCCGGGTAGTGATGCACCGGTGCCAGAGGGGGCGTGGTCTTCGGATCAAGTGGCGGAGTACATGTATGAGAAGATGAAGGATGGCAAGTTTTATATCGTTTGTCCAGATGGTCAGGTATCTGAAGAGACGGATAAGAAGCGTATGCTGTGGAGTGTGGGTGATATCATCAATGGACGACCGCCGTTGACAAGATGGCGTCCAGAGTACAAGGAAGAAGCGGAAAAGTGGATGGCGGAGCAGAAAGTCTAAAAGACAATTAGAAGCTTTCAAAATCTTGATAACAATGGTTTCTTATATCAGTATTATGAATATCTCGCGATGGGGTATCTACATGTCGCACACTTAACCTTTTTTACTCCGACCAACTCCGTTTACAGCCTACCATTACGACTTCGCGTCGCCTGCAGCGAGGGTGCTGAGATCTTCCTTTGCGGTCTCAAATCTCTCTACAGGCGGGCGCTCCACCTTCTTTTCCTCATCAGACTCTGGTTCGTCAACTCCATCGCTGAATAGCCCTGCCCCTTTTCCGGTGCTTGAACTGTGCTTACTTCCTTTGGCTTGTTCCTTCTGCACTTGATCATTCATGGTCTCAGAAATCGATGCTGGATTCCCAAGCTGTTTCTCAAATTCGTTTGAATCTCGAGCCGGGGGTGTAGTAATGTTTACACTGGCAAGTGTAACCGTGCTAGCATTGACATCCCTTCCTTCTGCTCCATCGACCTTGAGACGGAATGGATACGCAATGCCACCCGCTGTAGGGCGTGTCGTCAAGGTATCAGTACTGGGAATGATAGTACTGGGTAATGCAGGGTTGTCTGAGGCTATGACATTCGGCATGGGGGTCTGGTTGTCTTGTTCAACAGTGAGCGATGGCAAGCCCGAGGCAGCACGCTCAGGTGCCAGTCTTGTTGCGTCGGCAAGCCCGGGTTTTGGTAGGTCCATCTGGGATAAATCATCCATATCCATATCAGCCTGGCCTCGATCGGTAACAGCCGAAACACGAGAGCGTGACCTTGCGCGTCCGAAATTCGGCATAGATAGTCCAGTTCCACGACTTCGCTTGGACTTGCTTTCCGCTGCACCATCTGTATCTGAGGGTTGTGGAGCTTGCACAGTATCTGTTGGCTCGGCAGTGCCCTGCTCTGCTTTTCCTTCTCGCACAATCTGTATCCGTCAGCCAAAGGTATATATCACGCCATTCAGTGATATGCTGACTTACGGTAGCTTGGTCATGGGAACTACCCCAGATAGACCACATCGACATACCCCAACTCTTCTTCTTCGCCTTTTCATTCTTCATACCCTTGACCCGTCTTCCAGCAAGCGCTGTAGGGGGTGGCGTTTCCCCATCAAAGCCCTCGAAACCTCTTCGCATATCCTCGACCCTCTGTTTCTGGATCTTGATCTTTTGTTTTGCAAACTTCGAGTTCCACTGTGACTGTGCCTTCATCCACTTGCTTACAGGACCGGTTTTTGGCACGCCAACATCATTGCTGGGAATATTAAGAGCAGGGAGGTCTTCCTTGGCGGCGAGTGGATAGATCCGCCCATGTCGGTCAACGCGCTGACGAATCATATGATTTTCAAAAGGCGGAATCGGGTCACCAGCTCTGCCGACGCGGGCTTCCGCCTGTCCCTTCTTTTCAGTTGTCGAATCATTCTGTGGAGAATTCGCATTCGATGTGTTTGCACCATTGGATGAAACATTGGGGCCAGCTCTTTCTGACTCTGATGAAGCGCTCGAATCACTGCTCAGATAGGAAATCTCGTCGTCGTCAAGTATGTCAATGGACTTCTTTTGAGCACGCGCAAGTGCCCAGGCGCCGAACTGAGCAATGCTGCGATACATGTGTTTGGCTGGTCGTGTAAAGCTGAGAGTAGGGCACACATGGCACAAGTCATCCCAGACTTGGAGTTGGACATTGGTTGGTTTGTAGTTGGCCACTTGAGCCTGGATCTCCTCGGCAGTTTGGTTGTTGGACGGCGGTGGTATGTAAGCGAGTGGTTGTGCAGCTTTGTGGGCAAGGTAGATCTGCTCATCTCTAAGCAACTCACCACCTCCGGTCTGAATCAATAAAGGCGGCAAGCCCCCAAGTGTTGGCTGCAGAGCTGGTGAAACCAGAGGGTGTGTCAGCATGTGGTTGGGAGTGTACAACTGGATCTGATCTTTAATCTCAACTCGCACGTCTTCGAGTTGCACAGAAAGCTGACTCTTTGGCCCTACGCTATATTTGCCGTCGGGCGAGATCCAGATGTCGTCATCATGGCCCGTACCAGAAGGCTTTGAGCCATCATCGAAGACAGGACGATCGTTGGAGGTGACAGAAAACCCGCGTACTCGATCTGCTTTTTGCTCTTTAGTTTCTTCAGGGCTTTTCGCCTTCTTGATCTCGTCGTTCTTCTCGGTTCCTCCTTTTGCCGATTTTGCGATTTCAAGCATGTCATCTGCATTTGGAGGTGCTAGGACAAAGTTAGCCGGTAGAGGCATGTATTCAAAGAAGACGACCTACGCCAACTGATACTGGGTTTATGTAAGAACCCGTGAGGCGGGATATAGTCCATCTTGCCATCACCACCTAGACTTGGGAAGCTATGCGTCAGATCCACCCAAGGGCTAATCAAGATCGCTCCCGCGGGTAGAGGTATGCCTTGGTCGCGGAGCGTTACCAGCATGCTCAGGACCATCCCTCCACCCGCGGAGTCACCGGCAAGAATAATGGTAGTCGGATCATGCTTCTCTTCGAGGAGGTAAAGGTATACGGCCAAACCTACGACTGTTAGCATAACGTAGATATGACTACTTGGTTACCTACAATCATGCAAGCCGCAAGGAAACGGAAATTGCGGCGCAAGCCTATATTTCGGAGCCAAGACCCTGGCTTTGAGTTTGCGCGCATGTCTTTGCATTTGATAGCGGTGCTCATCTACACTGCCAAAGAAGTAGGCGCCACCATGAACGTAGAGCATGATGCGGTCGCCCTTGTGAATCGCTAGTTGCTTTCTCGCCTCGTAGTCCTTGCGCATCTCAATCCATTCCGCCTTTAGTGTAGTTCCCTCGCGCCTCCACTGCCACCATTGTTCTCCTCCAACAGCCCTGATGCCTTTGGGGCCCAATTGGGCGGAAATGAGCTCGGCAGAGCGCTGTAACAGACGGCTTGAGATTTCCACCTCATTTACATGTACCCAGCGTGGGACTGGGACCCACTGCGAAGTGAATGCTTGCAATTCATCGACAGTATGTAGCGAGGCGTAGTGGAGAAAACGGCGAATGAGCTCGAGGCCCTCGTGGTAGGATATGTGCGCTGTAGGCTTCTGCGAAAGCGGCCGGCGGTTGAGGTAATGTGAGAGATATGTCTGGATAATAGTGGGCGTAACAGCAGCGCCCACCGAAATCGTGTTGACAGGCATCGCGGGTTGGATTTAGGGGTGTGCGGAGCTGGCGGGACAGGCCAGCAAACACGTTTCCAGGAACACGTCGAGTCACAACTGCGGGCGAGGAAAAAAAAAGAAATACGCAACGCGTGACAAACAAAAGGAAAGGGGACGGGCCAGGAGGGTGCACCAAGAATTGTCTTGTGAAGATTAGGGGGCTCTGGAAGCTTGGGGGCTAGAGGCAGGTGGAGAGGGTCCCCGGATTTGCGATGCATGCAGGTCCACTCCGCTACGTCATAGAGACCCTTTTTTTCCCGTTGTGCTGCCAAGCCCGTTATTCAAACCCGCACAATCTTGATTGTGCCCGTCATTTCCCCCTTGCCAGCCGTCAGTCTTTGATTGTCCTTTTTCTGTGCACTTTCGTGAGTTATAACCCCGATCCCTGTGTAGTACATAGGACAATGAACATCTTATGTTTTTTTAGAACCGTGAATTAAAAAAAGTTCCTCAAACAATTTCAGTCTTCATAAACGAAAAACAGTAGATCTAGATTGCGATTGCGCCTCGAGTCTATACTATTTACAATATCTCGTGAATATTCAGGTCGGTGAACCCAACAAAAGAGAAATCACTCGGACCCAAGGTAGGGAAACACCAACTCCTCGTCCGTATCCAAAACGCCATCCAAATACGCCGTGATCAAGGGATCAATGCCCGCAGCAGTCGCCCGCTTGATCCACTCCCGCATGTCAACGGCGTCAAAGTGGCCTCCGTAAAGCTCCTCCAAGCGCGCAGCAAACTCGTTGACCGGCACCTTTGTCTTGCTTGAGTGGTGTCGGAAGAGCACAGTGCTGCTGTTCGCGTCCTGCTCGCGTCTCGCCATCTGCAGCGCCGCTTCGACCAACTCATCTGCCACGTTTTCCACCGGCGCAAAGTCAATGTATCCACGTCCTCGTCTGATTGTCGGCACGCAGCGCATCAGAAGCGAGAAGCGCAGGATGGCGTTCATGGAGTCCGAGTTGGGCGCCTGGTCGCCCACCAGGATGCAGGGTCTGTGCACCGCCGCTGTCCATTTCTTTCCTTGTCGCCCCCGACTGATCTCATTGTGGTACCGTGCCGTGTTCTCCAAGAACACCTCTGCCGCCCACTTGCTGACTGTGTACCCTTCGCGACCATCAACAGGTGGCGGGTGTGCGGCAAGCGACTCTGGTAGCTGTTCCGTGCTGCCTTTTAATAAGGAGACTCGGTTCGACGAGACAAACAGCAATGGTACTGCGCGGGGAAGTGCGAGGGCGGCGAGCCGTTGTGTTGATCCAACATTGGGTGCCTGTAGTGTTGCGTAATTGTTCAGGCAATGTCCATTGGATCCTGCGTGGATGATGACATCGGCGTTTTGCTGCAGCAAGGCATACTCTGGGGTGTTGAGTCCCAGACTCGGCTCGGCCAGGCTACCTGTATAACAGCGAACTCTGCTGTGCTTCTCGTAAGTTAGGAGATGCTCGTCATCGGCAGGTACAGCAATGCAGTGCACAACGTGCACTGTTGGTGATTGCAAGAGTTTGTCCAAAAGTACACTCCCAAGGAAGCTCGTAGCCCCAGTCAACACAACCTCGAGACCGTTGTTGTTGGCCTTGGTCACAGTATCGATTTCCTCGACATTCGAAACTGCCTGATGTTTTACAAAGTCTGGCACAGCGGTCTCCATTGCCCAATCAATATCTTCAGGGTCCCCGTCAATCTCAGCTTCCGCCTCGCGAAGATCGAATATGGCCTGCGCCATCGCGGACAAAGTGCTTTCACGATAGAGAATGCGCGTCGAAATCTTGACACCCATGGACTCGCGGATAGTGGCCTGCAGGCGCATGAGGAGCATGGAGTTGCCGCCGAGAAGGAAGAAGTCAGATGATGGCGTGATGCGGTGTCCTGCTGTGGCGGTTCCAGAGAGCACGCGCTCCCATAGCAGTCGCAGCTCCCCTTCGCGTATGTTCATGCTTTCCTGTGAACCTCCCTCATCTCCTTGAGCAGAGAGAAGAGGCAGGTTTGCGACGGCCTTTCGATCGAGCTTCCCATTGGCGTTGGTCGGAAGCGAGGGGAGAACAACGATAGTGGCTGGGATGAAGTACTGCGGTAGCTTCATACGGCGAAGAATGTCTCTCAGCACCGCATCGTTGACCATGTGTTGGCTGTCTGGCTTGACCGCTGCGTGTGCCACAAGTGACTCCCCTCGCTTGGACACTACAACATCTGCGAGCAGGCCATTGGAAGCCTTAAGCAAAGCTGTTTCGACCTCCTGTAGCTCAATCCGCAGACCACGCAACTTGACTTGCGAGTCGCCGTCAATCCTGCCAAAACATAGCAGTGTGCCATCCGACAGCAGACGTCCCTGGTCGCCAGTACGGTATAGACGCTCGCCCGTCAGTGGATCCACCAAGAACTTGGTGCGATTCTGTTCCGGCAAACCGAGATAACCTAGGGCCAAGCCAGATCCGCCAACACATATTTCACCAGTGTGGTTCACGGGTTGAGGGCGTCCTGCACTGTCGACGACCCGGACACTGTAATTTGGCAGTGCTCTGCCCACTGCGTATCTGGCTCTGCAATACTGTTCGTCGGCCTCATCCTCTCCAAAGTCATGGTCCTCATCCAGGCGGATTGGCTGGAATGTCGCCGCAGCGGTGATTTCTGTGGGACCATAGCAGTTGGTAAGTCGGAGATTGAGGTTGAGTCGGCGGAAATCTCGTTTCAAGCTGGCTGTGACGGGCTCACCGCCCATACACGCATTCGTCCACGCAACATGATCTTGTAGCGAGGTGGATCCATAGCGCATCCATGTCGAATACTCGGATGGCGTGGCGATTGTTAGCGAAATACGATGGTTGCGGAGCAGATTCACTAGTTCTACTGGGTCCCGTCTCGCATCGTGAGATGCCATGACCAAATGTCCACCATTGGCCAGGGCACAGAATGTTTGTATCAACGACATGTCAAAGCCTAGAGAGCTTTGTTGGAGCACGCTCTCCCGACCCAGGTCAAGGCCATGTGTCTTCAAGGCAATGTGGTTGGCAAAATTACCTTGTGTGAGCATGATACCCTTGGGCTTTCCCGTTGAGCCGCTTGTAAACAGCAAAATTGCAGCCGTGCTCGGGTCCAGAGCGCCAAGTACCTCAAAGGCAGGTGTCCTACTCAAGACTTCATCCACGCGAAGTTGCTGGAACAAGATTTCGTTCTCAGTATTCAACTCGTGGACGAGACCTTCTGTTCGCGCGTGGTAGAAAAGCAGACTTGGGTCGCTCTCAGTGATCATGGTCGCCATTCGAGCGACTGGCAAACTGGTGTCCAGCGGCACATAGATGCAGCCGGCCTGAAGGATGGATAGCATAGAAACCACAGAGTCGACCGATGGTTCGCACAGCGAGGCAACGCGATCTCCCACGACGCATCCCGCAGCAACAAGGGTATCGCATGCGCCGGCTACCCGGGCTGCGAGCTCTGCATATGATATAGTTGTGCAGCCGTCGGTAACAGCTGGGTCTCCGGCATAAAGGCGACTCATATCGAGAACGCGCTGTGAAAGTGTTGCAGGCCAGCCGAAGTTGGTCTCTGCGCCCTTTCCCAAAGCGATAGCCTGACGGACCTGCTCTTCATCGTGGAGTGAGCATTCGTCGATGCCCATGTCTGGGTCAACTGTATACGCCCCGATGAGACGCAGATACATATCCGTCACTGAGATATCGTTAGCATTCGGCTGTGATCCGAGAAAGAGCCAAACAGGACGGGTAACACTTACTCTCAGTCGTCGCTTCAGCATTATATAGCGAGCTCTGGCAGTGCAGATCAATGGCGAACCCATCGCCCATGTCCATAACGCCAAGGTTGATGTCATAAGGGGGCTCTGCATCCTTTCCGTCGTCGAGAGTCAGCATCATACGGCAGTCAGTGCCCAGGGGTTGCTCTCCCCAGCCAGCGGCGCGATAATTCAGAGATGCCTGGAACAAGGGGGGCGTCTCCCCGTCGGCCCAACGAGGCGCATTCAGGGCGTCGAGGAGGACCTCAAAAGGCACTCCGGCATGCGCAAACGCTGCGAGAGCCTTTCGCGATACTGCTCGCGCAATGCTGCTGAACTTTCCTTGCGCCTCAATATGTGCCTGTACTGGCAGTATATTCACGAAGCAGCCGACTATGCCAGCCGCTGCCTCGTCGTGTCCGCGGTTCGCGTCAACCACGCCCACGCACACATCATCAGAACCTGCCATTCGTGCCAACATGATCTGAAAGACGGCTAGATAAAGATGAAAGGGAGTGATGCTTAACTTTGCACATGTCGACTTGATCGCTGCCGTCTGGGACGAAGTCAGCGTGCGATATTCGCTGTGAAGCTTTTTGGCCGGTCCATCGACCCTTCGAGCTGGGCGTGCACGCAAGGTTGATGGTGGCAGAACGGGCAACGGCTCTGGAAAGACGGCAAACTCAGAGCGCCAATAAGCAAGGCGCTCGTCGTTCGCGCCTGCGAGCTCCTGCTCCGACTCTCGCAGCGTGTAATCCAGGTGCGAGGCGGCACCTGTGGTCTTGTCCAGTGGCTGCATGCGGTACGCGCGGTCGAGATCCTTGAGCAATATCGATAGACCGATAACGTCAGTGAGGATGTGATGGTATCCAATGACGAAGTCGTGTACTTGCTCTGACTCGCGACTCAGTACAGTGAGTTTGAAGGTGCGTCCTGCTTCGAGGTCCCAAACGCGCGTCTTGAGCTCGTTCATCGCACGCCGAAGGTCGTCGTCAGTTGCGTCGGGTATGTGCTCGTGCTCGTAGACAGAGGAGGGCATGAGGCCCTGTATGGGGTACCCATCGCCAATACGCTGGTAGAAGCACATTCGTAGGCATCCATGGTGCTGTGTTGTCACCTTCAGCGCATGGCGCAGGCGCACCATGTTCAGGGGTCCGGACACTCGATAGTGGAACACCATATTGTACGCTGTCGGGTCTTCGAGATGCTTACTTAGAAACCATATTCTTGCTTGAGCTCGTGACATGCGTTCTTGGCGAATCAGCTTGGGCTTGCCAGTCGCAATGGTGTCCTGTTTTCCCCTCACCTCGTTGTACTTTGGCGCTTTTTCATCTTGGAAGGCTGCGGTTTTCGGTGAAGCCGTGCCATTGACCGATGCCGGAGTTGATACACTACTTTCAGTGGAGTTGTCGTCTTGAATAGCCGTAGTCGAATCTTCCGAACCATCGTCTCTTTCCATTATGCTGGTGGCTCTGCTGCTGGTTGTCTCTGGCTGATGCTCTTGGACAGAGCCCGCATCCGCGATGCTGGTAACAGCAACTTCAGGGGAAGGGTTGCGAGGGATAACCATAGCTTCGTCCTTTCTCATGGGTCTTGCCCCCTTTTCGCCGTCCTTCTTGACCCGTTTGGTCAGTACTTCTCTTACAGCGGTGGTGCAAATCTGCATGATGCTATCGCCGCCCAAGACCTTGACTACAGAAATATCAACACCCAGCTCGCTCAGAAACCATTTGCGGATCTCCACGGCCACAAGAGAGTCGATACCAAGGTCGATGATGGGACGGCTGGCATTCTCAACAGCGCGCCCAGTTGCTAGCTGCAGAATGGCCTCCAGCTTGGTACCGAAAGCCTCCAACACCACTGTCAGGGCCTGTTCCTTGGAGTCGGCCTCCAACACCTGATGCTTCAAGCTGCCCGCGCCGACTCCAGAATGTCCGCCTGATCCGTTGTCCGTCCGATTCTGGTTCTCGGTTGGCACAAGATGACCTAGACGTGGGTTCGTGAACCAATGGACCTTGGATTCCGCAGCCTGGGCGGCATCGGGTGCTACGGGCGCGGCAGCCGGCTCAACGCCCATGATGATGTCGGGTGAAATATCGCTGCCCATACGTCCACTTCGTATAGCCTGGGCAAAGGCATGGTGGACGTCTGTCTCGGAACAAGGCATGAGACGGATGCTGCGGAAATGCTCTTCAAGGGCGGCAGAGCGGTCCTTTGACTCGACGACGTAACCGACGTCGGTGATGTGTCCTACATGGATGATGGAGCCCGAGAGCCCCCGAGCACGTCGATTAGCTGCTAGACTGGCCATGTATAGGTTGGCAATGTGGTAGTTGGCCTGGCCAATGTTTCCCAGCACCGTGGCCGACGACGAGAGCATGATGAAGAAGTCGAGAGGCTCATCGCCGAAGGCCGCGTCAAGGTTCTCGCTTCCGTCCACCTTGGGCGCGAGTGTGCCATTCAGTTGTTCGGGCGTTATGTCGAGGAACAGCTTGTCGGAAAGCACCATGGCTGCGTTGCACACGCCTGCGATAGGCGGCATGGTGTCGCGAACCTGCTTGATCACACCGTCGACTGATTCCCTGCTCGTGACATCCATGCGGAGCACTTGGACTGTCGCGCCTGCGCGGTGTGCATCCTCGAGCTCGGCTGGGTTGATGTTTGGATTGCGACTTGTGATCACCATGTATTTTGCGCCGTGCGCCAGTGCCCACTTGCAGAGGGACAAGCCGAGACCGCCCGCTGCGCCTACCATGAGATAGGTTCGGTCGGGACGGAATAGGCCCTGGGTATCGAGAGGGGCAGTCGTCAGTTCAAGTGACTCGCGCTTCCTCCAATCAACGACATAGAGCTCCCGTGCAAGCGACGAGACTTGGGTACCTGGAAGTGAGGCGGCCTCGATTATTTCGCACCTTCTCGAGTAGTTCTCATCCGTGTGCTGAGCGGCGTTATATGCTTGACTGAGTAGTGTCGATCCAGTGTCCGAAAGAGCCGCGTCCAAGAGTCGGGCATCGAGATGTTGCGACCTGTACCCAGGGGCCAGATAGTCGCGAAGGGAGTCGCCCATGGCCGACGAGTTGGAGCAGTCAACGTACAATGCGATGCCGTGCGGGACGGCCCGTTCGATCATACGCTTTGAAGACCGTTCGTGGAGCTTTATCCAATCATCAGGAGCGCTGGAATCCGAGGTGGCAAAGTAGGCATGAACGCCCTGCATTGCGAGTTTGGCGGCTAAGGCATTTGCCGTAGAGGCAACGGCGCCATAGAAAAGTGCGGGCTGGTTGGGCGTTGCGAGTGTGGCAACGGCTTCCTGCATCAGTTGATCTGCAGTGGCCACTAGAGCGGCTGGCGTGCAGGCCTCGGGTGCTATGGCTAGCTAATGCCCTAGATTTGTGAAGACGACAGAGGCATTGGTTTCGGAAAAGGCCATGACTGGCGAGCCGGAAGAAGTGCTTGTTCCGCAGACAAGATAGAGTGCGTTCCCTGTCACGGCCGGAATGTGCAGTGCGTACTGAACTTGAATACCGGTGCGGGCAGCTGCGCCGCCAACATCATCGGCAGCTTGAAGTATCATCCTCGTCGGCCTTTGAATTGCCTGGACAGGCAGGTTGGTGGCGTCCACTGTTTTGGTAAATGTGCGCGTCGACGCCGCCAAGCCTTCATTCATTGTCTCGTCCGATACCACGCGTGGGATCATAAGTCGGTTGTCCACGACCTCGACTTCAGGCTCTGTGGCCCACATGAGTTCGCCCTCAGTCTCGTCCTGGTCTGAAGCTTCTGAAGCCACCCTCAGACGCAGGAAAGCCTCGAGACAGTGACGGGCAGATGCTGCGACGGGCAATTTGGCCTCAAGACCGAGAACCTGCATGTGTAGATGCGGCATCTCGACAGGAGCCACTCGAGCAACTCCATGGATCATTGCGGCACGTGGTGTATGGGACTTACCGGTAGTGGCACCAGTCACCCAGAGTAAGTTGCGAGCCTTCATGAGCAGGCTCTGCAGCGCGGCTAGACGCGGTGCTGTCATGGTGGACGTGAACAGTGGCACGTCGAGATCGTGCAAGCAAATGACATCGACGCCAGGATCAAGGTCGGGCAACTCGTCCATGTCATCGACGCTGGTGATGGTCTGTACATACTTCTTCCAGGCACGCGGCAGTTGTTTCTGGATATCATTGAGTATCCTAGCAGTGGGGAGCTTCTTGCCACCGATCAGCAACAGTCCCCCAGCAGGCGCTGAGATTGATTGTATATCGGCAAGAGGCTCGCGGAGGAGATCTATGCTGTTGTTAACAGCCTGCGTGACTAGCAACGCTGTCGTATGTTTGAACTCATCCGCGATGTCATGCATGACCATGTCGAGACCCGAAAAGCCAGTGTCTTGCAAGATCGAGTCCCAGCGCAGTGTCGGCACGATAGGCATCAGCCGGCGCTCTGGCTCCTCCCCAGGCCACCAGCTGGGAAGGCCGCCGAAGATAAAGGGGATGCTGAGGTTCTGCACGCCCGTGGTCTCGAACAACAAGAGATAGCCACCCGGACGAAGCATTGAACGTACATGGCGCATTGTTCTCTCTAGATTCGCCGTAGCGTGCAGAACATTGGCTGCGATGACGACGTCGTAAGAATGGGGAATGTAATCCTGCTCCGCTGGGTCCTTTTCGACGTTCAGAGTGTTGAAGATCATCTTGTGGGCGAATTTGGCGAACTTGTCGGCAGCGGCAGGGAGGAAAGCCGACGAGATATCGGTGAATGTGTACGACGCATAGGCGTCACCGATGGCATTGAGCACGCTCCAAGTAGTCCCACCGGTACCGGCACCGATCTCAAGGATGTTGCACCGGGGATACTTGAAGGTAATGTTGCGCAGTGTGGTGGCAAGGAACTGGTTCACGCGGATACAGCCCCGGTCCTCCATGAAGAATCGGTTCAGCAAGTCGTCCTTGGTCATGACCTGCAACTGCGACAACTCTCCCCGGACAATCTGCAAAAATTTACCTCCAACGGCATTGAGCATTTGGAGCTGGACATCGTTGGGATGGGCTGCTTCCATGGCTTTGATTAATTCCGGGCCGTCCGTCAACCACTCCTTGCGCAGGACAGGGTGCTCTCCCTTTGCTGCCAGTGCCAAGTGCAGGCTGTTCGCTTCCAGCATGCGTCGGTGGTACCACTGGTATTTGCTCTGGTCGTCGGTTGCCGTCTCATTGGCAAGACGACGGGCGTAGTAGAAAGCCACGCGCTCGAGATCCTCGGTAAGCTGCAACAACTTGGCGTCCTCTGTGGCGTCGCGTTCTGGAATCGGTAGACCCAAGGCCATGTCAGGTTCCCAGATCGTCTTTGCAAACACCTGTCGGTCACGTGAAGGGTCCTGTTCACCGACAAGGCTGAGCATCAGGCCCTCGACTTGCACTAAAGTGTGATGTGACGTGATATCGTAGACGTTGATGTCACCCTTTAGCGAACCAGCGCTGGAATCGAGTGCCCAACTTTCAAAGTCGACGCGAGTAGTGTCGCCAGACGAGCCCTGTCGAGATATCGAGGGGGCGATTCGCACGCGATCGATGTGCGAGGGCAACAGTGCTGCAGTGGTCTGGCCACTAGCTGGATGGGCGCGGGCAAGGAGAAGGGTCTGAAAAGCAACGTCAAGCAGTGCAGGGTGCATCAGGATGTCGCTGCTGAGCGTGTCGCTATCCCAGGTGCCTGTGGCGGTGGCATAGTTGTGAGATCGACTGCTTTCCGTCAAGGCACGGAACGGCCCAGAGTACTCGAGTCCGAGTTCGGAGAACATCGAGTAGATACGATTGCAATCGACGTCGATGGTGTGATGCTTCCGAGCGACATCTCGGCTTGGTAGCACTGACTCTTCCTCGACGTCTTCACCGAAGTGAATGACCAGATTGCCGGTGCAAGCGTGGACCATGGTCCCCATGGCGGCGTCTATGCAGACGTAGTATGAGAACTCAGCTTGCAGCATGCTACTCAGCCTGGCACCGTTGACGACACGGGTTGTGAAGAGGGTCTCGACGCCGTCTTTGTCGTCGGGTACGACGACAGGGCGTAGGATCTGCACATTCTCGACCTCGACCATGCTGAGCACACGGCCGGACGTCTTTGCGATCTGATTGCCAGCCTCAATGGCAAAAGACACGTAGGCGGCGCCGGGAAGGAGGACTTCACCCAAAACCTCATGGCCACGGAGCCAAGGCATCTCAGTCAGGCGCAACAAGTTGCGCCAGCGCATCTCGCGCTCATTGTCGTCGGTGACACGCCTGCCCAGCAGCTCGTTACCCTTGTCGCGTCCTGTGCGGTACCGCCTCGAGATGGCGGATTCCCTCCAGTAGATCTGATCGTGATCCCAGGCGTACGATGGCAAGTCCTTGAGCGTATCGGACGCCCGCAGCTGTGCATTATCGCCAAACGCACTGTGGTAGCCGGCGAAGTCAATGTAGGAGGGACCTAGCTGGGACCAGGCCGTGCCTATGGACGCCGAAAAGGCCTCCACATCGCTCCCGCTCCGCTTCAGAACACCCGTGTACAGCGGAACGGAGCCGTAGACGGCCTTGAGCGTCTGCTCGACCGGACCCTTGAGAGCGGGATGTGGTCCGATTTCGATGGCCAGGTCAAAGGGCCCGCCGTGCCAAATGGACGACTCGACGGCTTGGGAGAACAAGACAGTCTTGACCATGTTAGAGACCCAATAAGGGCCCTTTAGATCGCTCAAATCACCTTTGAGGAGTTCCGTGTCGCCGCGCACACTCGAGTTCCAGATGCATCTGCCCAGCGCCGGCGGCCGGACCTGGATGTCACACGCAAGGATGGACTTGAGATACGGCTCGGCACATGGGAGCATGTGGTGTGAGTGGTATGCCGTATCAACCTTGAGCATACGGGCGAATGTGCCTGCGGCGTCAAAGACGCTTTTTGCTTCCTCGATGGCGTCCATGTCGCCAGACAGGGTCACGCTCTGGAGCGCATTGCTTGCTGCTACCTGCAAACGGTTCTTGAACTGTGGACGCCCGCAGAATAGCATAGCCTTGTCCAGCGGCAAGCCGACTGCCATCATGCCACCTCGCTGGCCCTGCGCACCGGTCGCGAGCTTCGCGTGATAGCCGCGGTAGTAGGCGATTTGCATAGCGCCCGTGCGGTTGATGATGCCGCTTGCGTACGCGGCAGCGATCTCGCCCGACGAGTGGCCAACAGCGGCATCGAAACGTACGCCGCTCGCGAACAGGAGATCACAAAGACCGAGCTGCACCGCCGTACAGAGGGGCTGTGCAATGGCAGCCTCGCCCAGTCGCGACGTGGACGCGTCTGCGGTCAGCTCTCCGATCAAAGACCACGACGGTGCCTCGCCTGCAGGCAGCGACTGGAGAATGGCTTCGCACTCCTCGATGGTCGCACGGAAGACAGGCGACCGCTGCAGCAGTTCCTGTCCCATGCCGGGCCACTGTGCGCCCTGACCGGTGAAGACGGCGAGGACGCCGGGGGCCTCCTTAGGGTTCACCAGTCGCGGCTGGTATCCTATCGCATCGCCGCGCGCCTTTTGATTGGCATCGATCCACTGCTCCATCGATGTCAGGATGTCGTCCCGCGACGCGCCCGAGAAGTGCGCGCGCACCCTGTGCGTCGTGCGGCGCGTCTGCAGAAGCGCAGCCAGGTCTGCGAGAGGGAGCTCTGGGTGGGCTTTGAGATGAGCCAAGTGCGACTGGACGGTCCGCAGTAGCGATGGCCCCGAGGCCGCAGAGAACAGAAGCGGGCCCAGGGCGCTGTCTCGCCGATCGGCAGAGCATCGCGGCGACACGTCCTCAAAGCTTTCGATGATGGCGTGTGCGTTTGTGCCGCCAAAGCCAAAGCTATTCACACTGGCACGTGCGGGCGCGCCAGGCGGGAGGGCCGGCCAGGGCCGGGCCGCAGTGGGGATGCACAGCGGCTTATAGTGGGGCGCAATTGCAGGGTTAAGTTCTGTGAAGTGGAGGTTGGGAGGGATGACGCGGTGTTTGATGGCGAGCAGCACCTTCATGACGCCGGCCAGCCCCGCACAGCCCTCGAGATGACCCACAACCGTCTTGATGGACCCCACAAACAGGGGCTCTGCGGGTGTGGCGCTGCCACCAAACACATCGCTGATGGCGCGCGCTTCGACTGGGTCGCCCGCAGGCGTGCCGGTGCCGTGGCATTCAAAATACTGCGGGCAGTCTTCGCGCAGGCGCGGGTCGAGGCCGGCCTGGTGATACGTGCGCTCGATGAGGGCGGCCTGCGTGAGCGCGCTCGGCATGGTGATGCCCTGGCTCTGGCCGTCCGAGTTGACGCCCGAGCTGCGCACAATGGCCTCGATGGCATCGCCGTCGGCCAGCGCCCGCGACAGCGTCTTGAGCACCAGCGCCGCAGTTCCCTCGCCGCGCGCATACCCGTTGGCGTCCTTGTCCCACATGCGCGAGCGCGCGTCGGGCGAGAGCATGTGCAGCTTCGACTCGGTGATGTACAGCGTGGGGTCCAGGATCATATTGACGCCCGCGACCACGGCGGCCTCGCTGTCGCCGTCAAGCAGGCCGCGCACCGCCTGGTGCAGCGCCACCAGCGAGCTTGAGCAGGCCGTGTCGATGGTGACCGAGGGCCCCTTGAGGTCGAAGACGTATGAGATGCGGTTCGAGACGATGCTGTTGGACGTGCCCGTGGCCGTATACTGCGGCAGCGTCTCGGGGTCGCGCAGCTGGATGACGGTCCAGTCGTTGGTCATGGTGCCCACGTGCACCGATGTCAGTGAGCCGCGCAGCTGCTCCAGCGTCAGCCCGGCAGTCTCGAACGCCTCGTAGACCGTCTCCAGTAGCTGCCGCTGCTGCGGGTCCATGCCCGCTGCCTCGATGGGCGATATGCCGAAGAAGGACGCGTCGAAGAGCCGTGTATCTTCTTCGAGGATATATGACTTGTTGACCACATTGGTGGACCCGTGCATCTCCGGGTTGGCGTGGTGGAAGCGGTCCAGGTTGAGGCGCTCGGGATCAAACTCCCTCAGCACATCCCGGGGCTGCTCCAGAAGCTCCCATAACTTCGACGGCGAGCTGGCGCCGCCGGGGAAGCGACACGACGAGCCTACGATGGCAATGGGCTCTTGGGTGTGTGCTGAATATCCCATGGTGTCGTCTGGTAGAGGATTGTTGCCGGGCAAGTTAGAATGGTTATTTGGCAAACTTTCTGATTGTGTCTGCAACCAAGGCAGGGACAAGCTGGATTCGTTGCGAATGAAGTTTCATCTCTGTACAGATATATCTGGCGCAGCTTGCATGTTTACCGGGTCTCTCCCACGGCGACGTGTGGGACAGAGCATTGCTCGCATCGCTCGCATCGCTATAGTCCGTGGCATGTGCTGAGCTAAACAGTAGTTAGATAGATGTGCTCGGTATTTTCTCACGTGATCGTCTTTTCCCCATTAATTAACTAACGACAAAGGGGCCCGGTCCGAGAAACGGGTGCGGCTTGTCTGACTGTACCGCGTCTCACTGCGCGGCTAGAAGGGCATGGTCGTGGGGGCCTAATCGAATATTCCGGTTCTCAATGCGAGCACCGAGGCCGCGGCGGCCTATCTGATTATGTACCAAAATCTGATCGTGTATGTGAACGCGCCAAAGGAGCCCGGGAAGTGCGGCGGGCTGAAGGATTCGCCGGTGGGGGTGGAGGTGGGACGTCAAACATGCATGCGAGCGCACGCCTGCAGTCTTACATGTCACATGCCTAGAGACTACGGTAGCATCCTCACGTACTATGCGGAGGCGTCGATGAAGTCTGACCAATATTCCCGTTTGCTGCTCCTGACCCCGAGTGTAGAACCTATCGCTAACAAGGACATCTTCCGGGCTGCCGTTTCGAGTCTAGATACTACTCTATACTATACTCCGCGCGAGTTAGACCCCGCTCCCGAATTAGCCATAGACAGAGGTGTCTGGAGAGATGCACGACGGTGACCGAGCTAGACCTAGTGAGTCTCTCTGCCCGTGGCACAGTACTTGAACAGGAACACAATGCGGCGACGACGTCTCATATCCTAAGACTCTGCACGCTGTATGTCTGGCTGATCTCGTTGGCAATCCAAACACGCAGCCTTTACTACCGCCAGTGCTCTCGTTTCTCGTGTGTAACGACGACCTTTGGACAAAATGGCAGCGACCACGACGCTCCCTAGCAAGCAGTCGGCGCTCAAGATTACTGGGCCCAGTACTGTCGCAGTGTCTATAGACACACCCCTACCCAAGCTCCAGCCGGCGGATGTCTTGGTCCGCGTGGCGTGCGTGTCTCTTAGCCCAGTGGACAGCAAGTCGGCCGACATGTCGCCCGCGACGGGGGCGACAAGCGGAACTGAATTTGCAGGCGTCGTCGTCCAGCTTGGCGCCGACGTTGACGCAGACGGGTTCCGCAAGGAGAGGAACATGAAGCGGCTCTGCGTTGGTGACAAGGTCGTGGGCGGCATCTTCGGCAACAACCCGCTGCGGCGCGACAATGGCGCCTTTGCCGAGTTTGTCGCCGTACCCGCGCGTCTGGTCTGGCACGTACCGGCTGCCATGGATCTCGCTACAGCCGTCACCCTCCCGGCCGCTGTGGCCACCGTCGGGCTCTCGCTCTTCGAACACATGGGGCTGCCCATGCCCTCGGAGCTCCCAGCCGCCCCCCGGTCCTCGTCCTCATCCTCATCCTCCTCCGAGGCCACCGACTCGAGGCCCTGGGTGCTCATCCATGGCGGCGGCACGGCCACAGGCTCCATGGCTATCCAGGTGCTCCGTCTCAGCGGCTTCCGCATCGTGACGACGTGCTCGCCCGATAGCGCGCCGCGTGCCCTCCGCCTGGGTGCTGCCGCCACCTTCGACTACCGCTCGCCCGACTGCGGCGCGGCAGTGCGCGCACACACGGCGGGTGCCCTGGGACTTGCGCTCGACTGCATCACCGACACGACCTCCATGGCTCTGTGTTACGAGGCCCTGGGCCTCGCCGGCGGCCGCTATGTGGCACTCGACTCGTTCCCGCTGCGCGGCCACACGCGCCGGGCCGTCCGGCCTGACTGGGTCTGCACCTACACGCAGTTTGGCGAACCTGTCGCCTGGGCGCCCCCCTACAACCTCGACGCCCGCCCCGGCCACCGCCGCTGCGCCGAGGCCTGGTACGCCCTCGCCCAGCGCCTGTTGGACCTGGGTCTGCTTGAGCCCCACCCCAAGGAGGAGCGCGCCGGCGGGCTGGCGGCCGTTGCGCAGGGCATGCACGAGGTGCGCCAGGGTCTGGTGAGGGGCAAGAAGCTGGTCTACCCCATTGTACCCGAGTTGTGTGTTTCTGCATAAACTTTGGAGGCGCTCTGGCGGCATCGTCTGCTTCTGAGCTAGCACTTGACCTTGAAATCTAGGTTTTTTTTAGAGATTTAAAGTCTTATACTGTAATCGAGATTTTGGCAATATCTATATAACAACTCGTCAGTGTAGTGAATTTTAGGGAATCGTTCCTTCTTTACTGTTTTCTTTCGCTCAACACAGTTCTTACGATATATCATTCGTTTGGGTATTGGGAGAAGCTTTTGAATTTATTTATTTATTACCACGTTGGCGACGCTAGGTGGATGTCAGCGGAGACTCCCACCCTAGCTTTCTTCCCTTGTATCTGACTTCGTATATTACATTTGCGATTGTCGAGATGCTGAATAGAGGCACGATGGATTCGAAAATTTTATGCGTGATAGCCTGCCAGGTCGCCTGCTCGCTGTGGTGGCGATCTTAGGTGGTGATGCGGATGATTCTATCCTTCTGTTCACGTATCAAGATCTTCGGCCTTCCACACCCAATATCATTTGGATATAGAACAAGAGCTAATAAACGAGGGCCAATAGTCTCCGATTTATCCGTTCTACAACTTAGCGTCCTTGATATTGTGGTGCAGTATCACGTGACTAAGCTTATAGTATATATTACGATTATCTTTCGTACATAGATAGGCACCTTCTTCAATCAATCCTTTGCAACGATCAACTTTCAGTTCATTTCTATCTACTTGATTGCGGGTCGCCCCTCTGATCTTTTGAGCTCGATCACATATCGTGCCACAATATAGTGCTCTGAGCATGTTGGGGAGCGCGCACGAGGGAGTGTTACGAAGCATTTTTAACGAGAACAGCACCAGCGATGAACGCACGCGTTATTGGATGGATTTCCGTGCGAGGAGTTTTAACAACCTTCTTCAAAGACATATTCTCTATATTAGAACGGCTTACGACCAATTAAAACCATAATTAGACGTTGTGATAATGATGAATTTTGAGCTACAGTATCTACTTGGGGCACACGGGCAGACTCAAGTAGTAGTAAGTAATGCATCACTAAAAACGACCTGCTTGGTACCTATCCTCTTCGCTAACGCATACAGCCACGCACGACTGCATCTCCTAATCCACCATTCCACCGTCACCTAGAGTACGCATGTGCCCTGGACTTCCAACACTCGTGACCTACTCACGGCGTCTTCGAACCATTATCTTCGCCCCCTTCGGCGGAGCCGTGAGCTCAGCAATCTGCCGGTTAGGCGGGCGCCGTCCGTTGTACTCAGCCGGCAGCTCCAGGTCATAATGCTTCAGGATGTAGGCCATGGTCATCTTGAGCTCGAAATCGACCAGGAACCGACCGGGACAGGCATGACGACCGTGGCCGAACGGTAAGTAGTCTGGCGACGTGGTGACGAACGAGTTTTTGTGGTATCCCGCCTTGGGGTCGTCTGTCTGTGCCTGGGCATTGCCGTTTTGCGTCTCCTTCTCCTTCTCCTTCTCCAGATCACGAGAAAAGCGCCAAGGGTCGAATTTGTTCGGGTTCTCAAACTTGGCCGAGTCCATCTGCGCCTGAGAGGCCAAGAAGGCGACGATGGTGCCCTTCTTGAGCGGCACACCGGCATCCGTCACAATGCCATCCTTCATGACCTTGCGCAGGAGGCCGCGGTTGCCAAAGGGGAATGTCACACGCATCGACTCCCGTGCCACGCTGTCGTACCCGGCCATGTTCATAAGCTTTTCCTTGGTCCAGCCCGTGCCGTCGGTGCCCAGCTCGCGGTCGGCCTCTGCCCGCAGCTTGGCAATGATGCCGAATTCTTTGTCTGAGTCGAGGATGTTGAGCAGCATCTGCACCGCCGTGCCCGACGTCTGATGCATGCTGACAAAGTTGGTTGACGCGAGCCGGATTGCCATGGTCTGCACGTCCTTGACTTCCTGGGGGCGTCTCTTCTCCGCGAATTGGAGCATGGCTTGCAGCTGATCCTGAGCTTGGTGTTCCTTGTCCTTCTTGAGTGCGGCCAGGCGTTCCGCGTACTGCGGCTGCAGGTGTTCCTTGATCTTGCCCAAGTTGTACCAAGTATGGATGCTGGTCAGGCGGGCGACGACGGGCAAAAAGATTGAGGGGATGCAGTTCCCGATGATAGCAGTCAGCATGACTCCTTCGATAATGTCGAGTGACCGCTTTAGGTAGTCTTCATTTCTGCACAGCGGAAGACCGACCGTGAAGCGACTTGATGCCGCTGCCACAATCATCCGCACCGACTCATCGAGATGGATTTCCTTCCAGTTCTCCGTGTCCATACCCAGGACCTTGGGCACAATGTAGTGCAGCTCATCGTCCACTGCCGGTATGAGGCTTTTGATCATAGGGCCAAGGGACGTCTTGACCAAAGCGAATTGCCATGGGTCCCCCCAATACTTGGAGTGACCAAGACTGTATGTTGACAGATTGGCTTGCAGAAAGGCTTGCGACACGCTGAGCGCCGTGTCTGGCTGTGACATGGCCCACTCCACAGAGCTTTCCGGCATGATCAGGTCCGCACGACCACCGTAGCCCGGCACCAAGACGGTCTCGCCTTTTTTTCCAAACTGCACTCGATAAATTAGCTTGCAAGCAGGTCATTCAGTTTGGTTGCATCTTCCTACCTTGTAATAGGCTTCGGTGTACAGCGCGGCGCAGTCATAGTAGTACCTCAGCCTCGTTTTCAAAGAGAATCTCTTCTTCCCATCGGGCTCTCCCGCTAATGGTAGTCCCAAGTCATCATACTCGCCCACAGTTGACATGACTGTGTACATTGTGTAGATCACGGCCAAGATGACACAGCCGGTAACTGCCATGGCCACATTCTTGCCAGAAATCGGCACATCTTGCAGGTGCAAGGTCATTGTGACGAGGTGAGGGAATTTGGTCACGCGTGCTGCCGCTGCGGTCCGCGTTTTCTTGAACTTTTGTTGTCTGTATGAGTATCGGTGTCTCAAATTATGGAGCGTAACAATAAACTCACGCGCAATGCACGCAGCCAAAGCCTATGCTGGTATGTACTATATGTAAGTCGAATGCCTTTTGCGTCGTTTGGTGCGTCTGGTCGGAGCGCTCAAGGCACAAACACGAGTGAACCGAAGAACATCTGACACAGGAGCGATCCGGAGTATTCTGCAACTTGTGCATCATGCATGATACCACTGTTTACCGAATCGCGGGATATTCGGGATATCGCAGTTATAGCCGGCGGAGTCTGCCAGTCAGCACCATCTCCGACTGTTACCCAAAGGAACGTACCAATTGGCCCGTCGGCTTTGTAAATCTCTCCGCATCGCTCTGGGGTGATGTAAAACAGCACTTGCACAAAAATGGAAAGGCTTTGGAGCGCTGATTGTGAAAAGTGAGTAGGGGCGAGGGACTCCATTACAGGTGCTTGTGAAGACTTTGTGGTGAAGCGCAGCGGATGCAACATGGAACTCACTCTTTCCAAGCCAATTCGTCTGAAATGCGGCCTGAAGCTGCCAAATCGACTGGTCAAAGCAGCCATGGCCGAGTGCCTAGGCAAGGCTGATGAGCACCATTTGCCAGGCAGTGAAGAATGCTTGGCTGTCTATCGGAGATGGTCTCAGGGCGGATGGGGACTCATCATAACAGGTATGATAGATTTCACTCCGCTATTTCTTTCAAGATCGAATCTCTTCATTACAGCGTGTGCTGTTTCTGACTGGCAACAACATCACAGGCAACGTGCAAGTCGACCCAGATCATCTCGGCGATCCCCATGACTTTGCCATCAACAGTGCCCTGCCCGAGGCCACCACACTCGCGGCTTTCACAGCCTGGTCCAAAGCGTGTTCGAATGGCGGCACATGTCATGCCTTGGTCCAGCTGTGTCATCCCGGGCGCCAAATTGCCTTCGGCAAGGGAACTGTAGCACCCAGCGCAATACCCATGGACTTCGGCACCGGTCTCATGCCGCGCCTGCTCAACTCCTTCGTGTTCGACACCCCGCGCGCTATGACAGTCGCCGAGATTCACACCACGATCCGGAACTTCGCCAATGCCGCACGTCTAATAGCGGCTGCTGGATTTGCAGGCGTCGAGCTGCATGCGGCGCATGGATACCTGCTCGCCCAGTTCCTATCACCACGATCTAACGTCCGCACAGATGCCTACGGCGGTAGTGCCCATTCTCGCGCCCGTATTGTCGTCGAAGTTATCCGTGCCGTTCGCGAGGCGGTCCCGCCAGATTTCTGCGTGGGGCTCAAGCTCAACTCCGTCGACGTTGGAAGTGCTGCCGGCATGGTCGACTGTATCGAGCAAATCAGGGTCATTGCGGAAGCTGGAATCGACTTCCTCGAGATCAGCGGCGGTAGTTTTGAGGACCCCACCTTCAACACGGGGCCTAGTGCGGACGCCAGAAAAGCTAGCAGCGTCGCGCGCGAGGCTTTCTTCATAGAGTTTGCCGAAGCTGTTCGCGCCCAGTTCCCATATGTTCCACTCATGGTTACGGGCGGATTTCGCTCGCGCCACGGCATGGAAGCGGCACTGGCCGACAACAGCTGTGACTTGATCGGTGTTGCGAGGCCAGCCGTCATGAACCCCCTGCTTCCACGCACCTTGATACTCAACCCCGAAACGCGTCACCAAGACGCATTCCAGCGCGTAAAGAGAATTCCGCCAGGGAAGGCTACTCAATACCTTGGCATTAAGCTCCTTGGTGTGGCCCCGGAGCGGGTAAGTTCCAAATCCACTTCCAAGCAGTAGCGTTGGGACGGTGAATATAGACTAAATCTCCGATATCAGGATTGGTACACCAAGCAAATCAAACTAATAGGGTCCGAACCAAGCAACAATTCGATTACTAAGCGGAAGAGGAGGGTGGCGCAGATCATATGCGTAGCAATCCTGGTGACCCTATGCTTATGGCTCAACAAGCTCCGCTTTTCCCGCTGGAACTAATGCAGGTAGCTTGGATAAGGCATAAGACGCACTTCCAAAAGCTTTGGAACCAATGTTCAATCTAGACTCGTAAATTCAGAAGAAGTCAATACTCGTTTACGTTTGCAGTTTTCCAATCTTCACGCATCTATGGTAGTTCCCTTTTCTGGCTATATTAGATACAAACCTGCAGGTAGTCAAGAATCCGGGATCATCCATGACACGAATGAGAAGTCCATGTAGTCGTTGGATTTCTGACCTGATCTAGTAACCTAAGCGAACTACATCTAGTGCCTAGTATGTCACTAACCATGCGTCGATCATAGTTCTCTACGGTGCTATTCGTCGCAACTCTACAGTGCACAAAATCCGATGTCAATTCTCCATAAGAAATAATTTCCAACCCACAAGTCCGAACGACAACCCAAAGATTCAGTACTTCAAATGTCTCCGTTGTTTCGTTGTGAGTGGGAACCTCGGAATATTAGTCAGAAACATCGGCTTGGCCTGAGATATTCCGAACCCGTTCCTAAATTGTTCTCCGCAATAACTAATCTTGGTGACCCAAGAATTTTCCGTGCGCCAAAAAAAAATGCACCCTTACATCGGAGAGGATCCACGTTCCATGCCCTTTGTCGGGGCTCGGCATGTCGCCCTTAACTCGGGTTACTAGTCGCTCCCCCCATTAGTTGCAAGAACGTGTGCGAGTATCTAACCCACTAGCCTGATTAATTGTACTCGTTTACTATATCTAAACCCTATCAAAAAAGAATACTAGACTTTGTTTCCTTTTCAAAAACTAGAGTAGGTTTGTCCATTGAAATTCCATCTTGGAAAAAAAAAGACGTCACCACCAAATTTTCTACCGCGTAAACAATGCCAGCCGCTACTACCCTGCCCAACGCTGCAGCCGCCGAACAGCTCGAAGTTCTCGCAGCTGCGCTCACGGACGCCGCGACGGATCTCCGAACCGGGGCCGACTCGTCGCCCCAGGACCATGCTAAACTCGTTGATACGCTGAGGAGCACCGTGGAGGTGGTGAATCGGCCGTCCGATGACCTCAACGATATGATGATGGCGTTTGTGCAGTGCACGGCTATCCGGCTGCTGTTCAAATGGAAAGTCCTCGAGAATATGCCTGCCGAGGGCACCATCTCGTACAAGGAGTTGGCGGCCAAGGTTGGCGGCGACGAGAATCTCATTAGTGAGTGTGCACTCGGAAAGCGCCAGACTCATGACACGGGCTGATTGCATTGTTTTTTACTGTTCCTTAAGCCCGCCTATGCTGGTTCCTAGTTGCCACGGGCATGCTGAAGCAAGAGGGCGCAGACCAAGTCGCCCATACGGCGCGGTCCCGGCCCTATGCGAGCGTCAATCCGCTCAGTGCCATGCTACAAATTGGGTAAAAAAAATCCCTTTGAATTTCCTGAAACCAATACGTTTTCGTTGAGATGCACTTATCAACTGACCGTTCTACCTTCTAACACTTACTCCAACTGACCAGATTTGACGAGTACCTCCCATCCTTCCTCCATATGCCGAGCTACTTCGACAAGTACGGCGTACGCGAGCCGTCGGGCCGCCTGCACAGCATCAAGGCGTCTGCTGAGGGCCGGCCCGAGCTAACGGCCACTGAGATCATGTACGCGCACCCGGAGCGTGTCGCCAACATGACGCTCGCCATGTCGTCTATGGAGAACATGTACCCACTGGCGGGTGTGTATGATTACAGCTGGGTCGCCGCTGCCAGGGACGCGGACCCAGCCCGCACCTTGATTGTCGACGTTGGCGGCGCCAAGGGGCACACGCTCGAGGCCATCTGCAAGGAGACGCCGGGGCTGCCCATCGAGCGCTGCGTATTGCAGGATTTGCCCGAGGTTATTGATGTGGCCAAGCGTATGGTAGGGGCAAGCAGTAGCCCAAGTCCGAAGATGGTGGCGATAGACTTTTTCAACGAGCAGCCTGTCAAGGGTAAGAGATCTCGTTTGATATCATTGCTCAGCTTCCCCAAAGGCGCCAAGCTTCAAGCACGAGTTCTTTTTACATCCATCTGATTGTTTCACAGGTGCCCTGATATACATTATCCGCCGCTGTCTTCATGACTTCAGCGACGAAGAATGCGTCGAGATCTTGACCCATCTCAGCGGCGCCATGGCATGTGATAGCAGGCTTCTCGTCGGCGAGACGGTGTTGAGCAACCCACCGAGCCGACCTACGGCCATGGTGGATTTGCTGCTGTCGACCATTGGGGGCAAGGAGCGCACGATTGAGGGCTTCAACAAGGTTGCCGAGCGCGCAGGATTGAGCTTGTCAGGCGTACACAAGGCGTCTTTTGGCGACTTCTCCATCATTGAGTATAGCAAGGTATAAAACAAAACAAAAAAACTTCATGGTGATGCTGGATAAGAGAGGACTATGCAGATCCTGGTTATGATAGGAGGACTTTGAATTCAAGTTTAAAAGAGATGACGAGATGATGCTTGTATTCATCGTGTACAGGCACGAAATAGATACTCACCAAAGTGACGGCGTACCTATGCTGGGATTGTCATTCAATATCCAACCCATCGGTTCCGTGTTTGTGAAATCGAAAAGATTGTCCATGGCCTAAAGATGGGGTTAGTTTAAAAGAAAAATGAGGCTTTGTTCAAATGGCAAGTTTTTGACTCACCGTGTGTGCAAAATTCTCCATAGAGTGATTGTTTTGGGCCAAGTCTGTCGGGTCAAGTGCTTCGTCACTGGACCCGGGGCCGCAGACCTGGAATTCTGACGCCATAGCCGTCAAGATTGGCATGCACTTTTCTTCTACTGCTTCCACAGCCTCGATCAATTGCCCAGTAGTCTCAGCTTGACTAAGCCCAAGCATGAGCCCCTTGATCTGGGCTGCAATGACACTCATGAGAAGGTAGCCCTTGACACTGGTCTCTCCGGCCTCGACAGTCTGCAGACACCATTGCTTGGACTCGTCAATGACAGACAGCAAGTCGGGCCGCAGTGGGGTGAGTTCAAGGCTGTCATCTTCTTTTAACTGCATCCGAAGGTCTATGGCGATGAGAAACGCGGCATGGATGGCGCCGGCTGGGTAGAAGCCCGCCGAGCATGTGATGAGACGCTGCAATTCATTTGCCTCTGGAGCAACTGGACTGTTATCGAAAGTTACTGGATAGGCCGCGCGCCAAATTTTCAAAGACGACTCCACAACCACCTTGCGGGAAAAGGCGTAGGGCGTCTCGGTGAACGATGCACCAAAATAGGGAGCGTGGAGAGCCAAGAGGTATCGATGCATGATGAAGTCGGCCATGCGCATCTCAAAAGGTGAAGGTGCAGAGGTTGTGGTTGAGCCACTATAAGCCAACAAGCTGCGTCGTAGTGACTTGTAGGCGTCGCGGAGCTTCGAGTCAAGCTCAAGTGTCTTATCGTAGGCAATGGGGGATGCGAGATCATTCAAGAACTTCACCACGGCCAGGCGCTGCGGAAACGTTTCGCGGAATGCCATCGCGATGGAGACTTGTGTGAAGGAGCCTGGTGGCTGTGATACTGGATCGTCAGTCAATATCTGCTCGTCATCAAAGTTACCTGGGGGTGCCGTGTCAAAGTCATCAAGAGAGATCAAAGGAGGACCCCCAGACGACAAGCTCGATTCCAGGGCCATCTCCAAAATGGTGTTCCATAGCCTTCGACGCATCTCAGCGGCGAATCTCGTTCTCTGGGGCAGGACGGCAGGATCCCGATGTAATCCCATGTAGATTGCTTTCCTAAGTAGTGCTCCAACCGAGATCCAGGTCGAATCTTCGACTACGCCTAGCCTTTCTTGAGCGACTAGTAAGAGAAGGCTGGTCTGAAGGGTTTGGATGTCGAGTTGCGACTTGGATTTCGGTTCCGACAGCCAGCTTCGCGCGGCGCTAACCCATCGAGTAGCTGAGGTGCGCAGTGAAAACCGTTCATCATACGTCACGGCGCCTATGGCGAGCACGAGCGACAGCTGAACCATGAATGCCTTGTCGGCAGTTGCCATGTTGGATATCCAGACCGCCTCATAGTCTCGGCGAAACGACGGGATGTGGATAATGCGATGAATAGATTCGGTCGACCTAAAGTAGCAATCTACCAGTGCATCCGAGATTTCTTTACGTGGCAAGTCGGGTGTGGATGAAGGGAGCCATGAAAAGGTCCGCTGCGATTTGATGAACCTTGCAAGGGATTTGCATCGCTCAATCCCTGACCAAGCCTTTGTCGCCTCTGGGCATGCGTGTGCATCGATGGACTCGAAGACATCGCGAATCTTGTGCTCGTCAGCCGTGTTTTCTTTTTTTCATGACAACAAGGACATGTGCTAGTCTTACCAGGAGAACACCATTGACAGTCCAGTGACTTTGGCCAAATAAACGTGTCTTGTGGCTAACCCCCCGGGCGATTGCCTGTTGCTGGCCCAGAGAGCTACCCTCGCAGTGGACATGAAAGGTACCGCTAAGGGTTGAGTTAAGGGTTTGGATGTTGGAGTGCGGGGGTTCGGGGGATGGATTGGCTAGCCTTGAGGTCAGTTTGGACAGCTGATCTTCGAGATCTCGGATCCTGAGCTTCAGCCTCAGTGACTCGGCATCCAGCGTCGAGGTTTGACTCGGAGGTGTTGATGCAGCTATAGAACTGGTAGCAAGTGAACTTGGTGCATAGGTCGGAAGAGACAACCCGCTCGTGGTGGATGCGCTACTGCCCAGCGGGACTGACTCTCGATGCCTGGGAACCGGCGTCATTTGAGCCTGAGGAATGGAAGCGCGAGAGAACGGCGTGCGGTGGTTGTGAGATTCATAGACACAGTTGTCATTCCTTGCGCGGAGACAGTTGCTGCATGGAGACTCATGATTACACCGGATCTTCCGTTTCCTGCAAAGCAAGCACGACCTATAATACTGTCAATGCAAGGACTCTTATAAATGCAGAAATTGAGCCTACGTTGCCTGCCGCTTTCTTCGTCCATCAGGCGCCCGATCGGTCATGGCGGATGATGCGATGAACAGCTAGAGATGATGCACGTCACGTTCTGTGCGAGACTGACGAGCATGCGAGTGTGGATGGGTGGTATCTCTGGATATTGCCAGAGAGGGATGATTGCATGTAGAAGTTGTGTCGCGCGCAGCTTGTATGTTGGTGCAAGCGGCTCGATGGGGCGGAAATGCTCGAGTGGTAGTAGTTACCATCTCGGATTATTAATAAAAAGCCATGAACTAGTCACATGCTTTTTCTCTCTTCTTGAGAATATCAGTAGTTTTATAATTTATGAGTTATCAAGTAGACTAGGCAGTTTACTAAAATACTGAACAAGTGAATATTTCTATTACTACTAACTGTATTGTATCGATACGTAACTAACTACTCAACCATCTTGAATATGATTTTTTGATCAATGATTGCCATAACTATATCACGCATCATTGTTTCGGGTACAACACGGCCTGCCCTTTAGCACCGCTACTAATGCTACCCTACATGACTGGAATCACGCTGTCGGCCTTGCCACGCCGCTTCTACAAATTTCCAGTCGGGGACAGATCGGGGCGTGTTCGGTTGAGCCGATCTGTCCCCGACACCGAACTCCGCCTCTGTCACATCAAACGCAACATCTATGAAATCTCCTGAGAATATTAAAACGAGAAGGTCCCTTTGCTCGAAAATGGCTGTGACTCTCTATTCAACTACCTGCAGTCCAAGAACTGGTGCACAAGACCACACTCTCGCATCCCCCCTTTCGTCGTTCCTGCAGCGTTTGAATAGTCCAGCTTTCCTACACCATCACCTGCAACACTTCGCAGTCTCCTTTGAAACTGCCGAATCTTCCTATTCTACAACCTCTTTCACAAGCGAAAAAAAAATAACCAAACACCCAAGCTACACAATGGCCGCAGAACCACTACACTCGCCTTCGCCCAAAGAATCGCACTCCCCCCATCGCGACACCGAACGACGCCTTCACGCCACAGACGCTACCATCGACGACTTCGGCCCAGCACCCGAGGGCGGCCGCCGCGCCTGGATCGTAGCAGCCGGCGGCGGCGCCATCTTCTTCAGCACCCTCGGTTTCGCCAATTCCTTCGGCACATTCGAAGAGTACTACTTGCGGCATCAGTTGAAGGGATGGTCTGCCTCCGATATCTCGTGGATCGGTTCTTTGGCTATCTTTCTCCAGTTCTTTGCTGGGATGCTGAGTGGACCGCTATTTGATCGGTATGGTGAGAAGGTGAGTCCGGTTTTTTTGCTTGTTTCTGGGAAAGGCAATGCGGACTGACATGGTGCGTTTGATTTAGATGATTCGGCCGGCGGCGGTGCTTTACGTTGTCTTCATGATGGTGCTTAGCGTTTGCAAGAGCTACTGGTCCATTATGCTGGTACAGGGTGTGCTCATGGGCATCGTCATGGGACTCTTGCAGATCCCGGCTTTTGCTGCTGTATCGCAGTATTTTGAGAAGAATCGGGCTGGCTCGCTTGGTCTGGTGGCTTCGGGCTCGTCGATTGGCGGCGTCGTCATTCCAATCGCGCTGTCTAAGATGTTGAATCAAAGCTCGCTGGGCTTTGGCTGGTCGGTACGAATCGTTGGGTTCATGATCATGCCGTTCGTACTGTTTGCCGCCGTGGGCATCAAACCTCGATTGCCTCCGCGCAAGACGGAGTTTTGGCTCGTGTCCGCGTACAAGGAAGGGCGCTTCATTGTCTTGATTGTCGCACTCTTCTTTATGCTGTTTGGCATGTTCACGCCCTTCTTCTACCTGCCTACCTACGCCGTCTCACGAGGCATGAGCCCCACGTTCGCGGGCTACTTGCTTTCCATTCTGAACGCAGCGTCCACTTTTGGTCGCATCATACCTGGGGTGCTCGCCGACAAATGGGGCAAAATCAACATGTTCGGCTTTGGAGGCGTCATTACCGGCATTGTCATCTACACGATGAACGAGGCAGACTCCAACGCAGCCCTGATTGTGTACGCAGTCTTTTTCGGCTTCACCTCAGGCACCATCATCTCGGGGGGATCTGCTGCATTTTCCACGTGCCCAAAGGACGCACGAAATGTTGGGACTTATATGGGCATGGGAATGGCCATCGCAGGCATCGGAGGGCTCATCGGACCCCCTGTCAACGGAGCTATGGTCAAGAATTATGGAGGATTCTTCGAGGTCTGTATGCTCAGTGGTACCCTGTGTGTCGTTGGCGGTCTTATCGCAATCGCGGCCAAATGGTGGACACCACAAGGCCTCCTGGGCAATGTATGAACCTAGCATCCTTTCGCTCACTATGAGATTGCCGTCTACGGCTGGGCTCGAAGTCTCGTGTGGAGTTGTGTTATATTGGCAAATGATGGTGTAAGTTTCTGGCAGATAAACGGCTAATTCCTCATTGGGATCACTGTATTATAAGTTTAAATCGAGTTAGTTATGCGTAATCTGTACATTATCAGTCGTGCAACATCATCTGCAAGTAAGCACTGACACTTCAACCTTGCGCTTTTTGCATCAGAAATGCTTGCAGTTTAACGGTCTGCGATTCCCATCAAGCTTCGTTACCCCACGTGAAAAAAGCTTACTTTATCAATGGCAGATATCTCATGTTTACCCCGAATATCGATTTCGATGGCGTTCCCGCGGTTCAATGACATGAAGTTGTCAAGTAGCAGTGCAGCCATGAATTTATCCATTCAGAATCGATATACCTAAACATACTTGACCATGTACATCGCTATTCATTCTTGGAAAAGAAAAATGTCCACATGTGTCTCACCTCTCCCATACTTTATTTATAGACAGCAATCTTGACCCCGTTTCGATTCGAAGGCCCAATCCGCATGACAGCACGGTAGGGCTCGGGATCGCGGGCCTCGAGGCGCGAGTATTCACGCGCCATGCGTGCGAGCATGTAGCAGGCCTCAGTCTGGACCATCATCTGAGCCGGACAGCGGCGGGGCCCGCCACCGTACGGCAGGAAGCCCCAAGTACCGCGCAGGCCGTCGAAGCGCTCCGGGTGGAACTCTTCAGCGTCCGCGCCCCAGTGATCCGGGTCGCGGTACATGACGGTTTTGGTCACAGAAACGATGTCACCCTTGTGCACGCGCAGCGGAGCCTGTCCGTTGAGTCCGCCGCCAATTGGGAGCGTGGTGTCTGATAGGCAGGCGCGCACCTGGGTGACGTTGTTAGGAATGAGGCGGTGGGCTGTGGTGTTGGGTGTTAGTCTTTGACGGCTCAGGCTGACTTGCAGGTAATGAGTGCGGCTACGGGTGCTGAGACTTACTCTCATTGATGACTCCGTTAAGATAGGTCATGTTGCGCAAGACGTCAAAGGTCAGGGGGGCATCTTTGCCCAGTGCCAAAACCTCCTGACGGAGTTTAGCCCAGGCTTCCGGATAGCGCGCCAGATACCAGATGCAGTTGCTAATCAGCATGGAAGTGGTGTCATTAGTAGGCACAATGATGAGACAGACCTGCGAGCGCAGACCCTCCTCATCGCCGCGCATCCGGCCGGCCATGGTCCACAAGAGATCTGCCCGCTCCGGGGGAAGCTCCATTCCCTTGCTTCGCATGCGGTCGCGCTCGTCCATCTCGGCAAAGGTGGCGCGGATATGTCCGTTGACGAAATCGTGGATTTCTTCGACGGCCGCCAACCACCAGTTCCAATTGAAGGCCCACAGGAAGCGGTGACTCTGAGCCCGCAGGCGCGCGCCTTGAAGCGCCGTCACCATGTTCATTGCAAACTTGGCGCGAGCTGGATCAGTGAGTGAATGCAGCGACTCGCCGAAGATGAAGTCGGTGTTGATGTCCAGGAACCAGCGTTGCAGCAGCGGCATGACATCAAACGTCTCGCCATCCTTAGCGAAGAGGTCAAGGAAGCGGTCGGCAAAAGGTTTGATGCGATCCGTATTGTGGTAGACGTCCCTCTCGAAGAAGGGCTTTATCAGGACACGGCTGAAAGCCCAGTCCTCGCCGTCGGTGGTGTTGATACCCTTGTCGGCAAACGGCATAGTAATCTTGGAGTTGCGGCGGATGGGCTCGACGCCAAAATCCTTGAAGTTTGTGGCGTAGACAGCCTTGAGGATCTCGGGCTCGGTCGTGTAGAACCAGCGGGTGCCGAAGAAGCGCAGTGAAAAGGTCTTGGGCCGGCCGGCGTGCAGCTTGCGCAGCCAGTCCAGGTAGTAGTCCCCCCGAAGGGCCCGCACCTGGCTCACAACGGTGTCGAGCCCCAGGAAAGGCTCCCACTGCCACATGCGCGGCGCAGGCTCGCAGCCATCAGGATCATCTTGGCCGGTGCTGCTTTTGCGTTTGCTGAAGATGGTGCTTAGCAGGATGACGGCAAAGCCCGAGGTCACGACGAGCCAGGGCAAGTCCATACTTCCAAGGCGCTCCCCCAGCCCGACGACGTTGCTTGACGGAAGCTGGGCCACGGATGGGACGGGTGCGGCCATGATGGACAGTGAATAGGTGTAGTCTGAGTATGGAGAAGTCGTAGGATATTTGGAATGCGTGTAAATCAACTCCAACCCAGGAGGTGGTAGTGACGGTGGTCAACGATGCCAATATCGTAGGCCAGCCAGCTCCTTCCATGGTGACTATTCCCCGGCATACAATGGAGATGGCACTGGTGTCGATAGCGCAACATGGACGGTTCGTAGGATTGATCTCAGCTCGCAACGCGCAATTCTCCGAGCCAACGCGGGCGGCGTATAGCCAAAGCCCACGGCGATGGTGTTGCATGAAAGCTTGCGGGATTAGTAAGACCGGAATATTGATATGCATGTGGACGGTCCGTCGACGCCGCAACGGACGGACGCAGGCGCCGAGTTGACGGAGAATAAAACATTGTGGGCCTGAAGCTGACGAGGTGGGCTGGCCGGTGGGGGAGAGAGAGGAAGGGCTATTAGCTGCCTACCGTGCCTGATGAATGGCTTCATTATTCCATCCCTGCCCTTCTGCTGCATCATCCTCTACAAACATGACCCCAGACGCCACCATTGTGGTGACTGGAGCTGGTGGCGGCCTAGGGAGCGCCATCGCCGCTCATGTCAGCCGCCACTTAGGCCACTATCACGCCATCTACACGGTTCGCGATACGTCTCGGCCCCATGAAGCGCTGCGGGCCGCCTTACGACAACCCACCAGTTCGCAGCACTCGCATCAGATCCTGTCGCTAGACTTAGCCCGCCTCAGCAGCGTGCGCGCCTTCGCCGCGTCTGTCAACCGCCGTGTAGCGAGCGGCGAGATCCCGTCCATCCGCGCCTTGATCCTCAATGCCGGCCTTCTCGAGTTCGACAAGCAGACGTGGGCGCCCGCCGCCGATGGCGGCTTCGACATGACCTTTGCCTCAAACTATCTCGGCCACTGGTTGTTGACGCTTCTGCTGCTGGAGAGCATGGACCGGACCTGCGGCAGAGTAGTCGTTGTCGGGAGCTCAACTCACGATCCCTCAATTCCCATGATTGCGCGCCATTACCCGTCCGAGGCGCTGAAAACCTTCATCCATGGCAGCACTGATCCCCTCGCAACCGGCTCGTGGAGCAGCAACAAAGAAGATCCTACGTATCATAGTGGTTTCCGGCGCTACGGTGCTGCAAAGATGTGTCTGGCCATGATGGTGTAAGTAAGCCCAGCCCCTGCTCCCCCTTACTGCGTGTGGTCAGTGCGTGCAACAGTTCAGCCAATGCAACACCATCTACCCCATCAAAATATCCACCCATCATTTTCAACACGTGATAACTCTACCACCATAACAGCTCTTACAAAAGCGATTGCGGCAATCAATTCGTAAGATATAGAAGGTTAACTTTTATATCGCGTAGCTGTAAAAAAGTTTAGTGTTAATGTTATAACATTAACGCGCCGGCACCAAAACAAAACACAGTTAAGGGCTGCAGCTACCTAAAATCGCTAATTACTCACTCTACTATAAGAATCAGAGCTAGTAAAATATATAGAAAAACTATCAAAACGCGGGCTACTACCTTCTTAATCTATAGTTAAAAATTATATGGCTGTTATTATAGAATAGGAGCTCTCCGATAGCTAGGTTACTTATTTTTTACACCGTCACTGTAACGGCTCAGCACCCGTTCCTACATACATCCGAACAGGATCCGAACTAGGGTACGATTCGGCCTANTGGGAAAAACGACTATATAAACCTAACCTCTATAATAGCTTATTAGGTAGATTTTNGATATCCTTTCGTACAAGGCCTATAGGTGTCTATTTGAATCAAGGCTCGTTTGATGTCCCACGCACTCCCATATGCCTCTGAGTGACGCTACCGCCGATACTGATCCGAGTAGTCTTGCCTGCGCCGTTACAGTCACCACGATAACCTATGCATTAGAAAAGCCACCGGTATCGACCGCGACTGTTATCTAGCTAAAGCTCTAGATAACTACTAATTATATTTCAATCTCCTCTATACTAAGCTCGATTAATACGACGTTGCGCTATATAATATCTATAATATAGATAAGAAGGGCTTCTTACTTAGCTAGATCTTACTATCTAAAAGAATCTTTTTAAAGGCTATGTAGGATTAAAAGAAAGTGCGTAAGGCACTCTAAGATAGGAGTAGAGATTAGATTACGATTATTAGGTATATCTGCGCTGATAGGAGCTTGGTAGATCCTGCGATAATCTTTAAGGGAGTAGATAGTCTTCGCGATGAATGGCTACGGGACCTAGAGGTTGAAAAATACTAGATTTTTTGCTATAGCAGCCTATCTAGATAGAGTAACAATAAGCTCGCGCTAGCTTAGGTTAAGCAGGTATTCGATCGGCTCACGAAGAAGAAAGTAAAACGCGACTATAGAATACTGCTCGTTAATAGGCATAGCAGCCACCTTACGCCGTCGTTTATCGAGTACTGCTATACCCATCGAATACTACTCGCAGTATTTCCACCTTACGCTACTCAGAGCCTTTAGCCACTCAACGTTAGCGTGTACTCACCTCTAGCAACCGCGTATAGCACCGAGCTTACTAATCTACTCTATAGCGATTAAGGATTACTTAATATGCAGAAAAGTGATTTCCTCCGTATATTTTAGGCGGTATATACATCTACTTTCACAGCTAATAATATATTAAGTAGTTTTTAAGCTAGTAGGATCTATCCGCGCGAGCCCGACGTCGTAATAAAACGCTTCGAAATATCACTACTACGAGCTAGTATAGATACAGAAATTAGAGAGGCAGGTTATAGAGATACCTAGTAGGAGCTGTTAAGAATGTTTACTGCTGCGGTGCTGGATACATTAAAAAATGTAGCTAAACAGCTTAAATAGGCGCTCTATTTATTACAGACTTAGAACGAGCTTTTATACTATAAAAACGACGAACTACGCGTCAATATTACTACTAGAAAACGCCGTAAATCTAAACGTAAGCTTCTTAATCTATAGCAGCACGAAGAGTATTATAGCACGGCTATAATATAGAGCCTACGGTTAGTAAGGGAGGCTAGAGCCTGTAAGGTAGCAGAACAATAACAAGAGCATGAAAAAAAACTCTAAAAAAACAGTAGAGGGAGGAGCGAGCTGCCGCAGCTATATATAAAAAATAGATGGTATAAGCTGCTCGTGAGCACCGAGAAACGGCTAGAGTAGTGCGGCAGGAGGAGCGGGCTGCGAGGGCTGCACAACTAGCTACTGCGCGCGCTAAAAAGGCACGAGATCGCGCTACTATAACCTTATAAAAATCTCGCAATAGGCAAAATAAAACTAAGCGAAAAGTTTTATTAACTTAGAATATAAAAATAACAAAGCGGCGTCGTGTTGTAGAGGTTGAAAGTAGTAGTAGTGATGCATCACCACCCGCCAAGCCTCCTACCAAAACCACCACCCGCGGCCGCAGTATGCGGTTGCCTAGTAAATATTAATAGATATATAACAAATATACGATTATATTAGTACTCTAATAAAAAACCTTGCGATAATAACGTTTTGGTGGTGGTCAAAAGCTTCATTTTTTGGTGGGCACGCATTTTGGTGGGGTGTTGCATTGGCTGAACTGTTGCACGCACTGACCACACGCAGTACACACTAAACCCCGTCCGTGCGAAAAGGAAAAAGATCCTTACATATGCCTAGCGGAGAACTCCAGCGTCGCCTAGCTGTAGATCCAGCCCTGAACTGCATCAGCACAGTAGGCATCGATCCAGGCACCATGTCCACGGGCATCGTCCGCAATAGCAACTGGTTCGTACGCGTCGTTGTGCACGGCATCGTCATTGCAACATTAGCCCGCTTGATTGCTATCATCTGGCCATCCCCCAACGGTGCCCTGCGCACCCCGGAAAAGTCAGCCAAAGACGTGATAGACGCCGCCCTGGCAACTGCCAAATGGCAAAACAAGGGCGGCCTGTATCTAGACGGCTCACAACTCAGTGACATGAGTGAGGAAGCAAAGGATCCTGGTAAACGCGCATTGGTATGGCGCGATAGTATCAGGTATACAGGCCTCAAACAGGAAGAAACAATACTTGTGAATTGGAACTAGTTCCAACAGTCGAATCCGACCGCCGAGTTGATACAATGTTTATTTTTGACCCACTACTATGTATCTAAAGTTGCTCTTTGTAGAAATCTAGTAATATACAAGGATAAATAGCACGCATCCTATCTATGCACATGTCTAATATATATCCTTGCACACACATACATACACACACATTCTATGCTTTACAGCTGTTAGACTTTGGTCCTTTGCAACACTTCGGTAAACACATTCAATGCACTCAGTACCGCTCTCGCAGTCGTTTCGTCCACATCCAAGGCTTGTACATTGCCTACCTGGCCTGGGTCCCCTGTGGCCCCACCGCCCAGCAAGAGCGCGTCTATGTGAGCTGCAGCGGCGGCAAAGACGACGAACTCGCGGGCTGAATTTGCCCCGGAAGAGCTTCGCATGCGGCTCTCAAACACTTGCATGGCGACCCGCAGCACGCCGCGGATCTGGTGTAGAGACGGCTGGTTCAGAATGGGGAACTCGTTCTTCTCCAGCTCGCTGATGAGGTCGAGGCACAGCGAGGCTAGCATCTGCCGGTGCATGCGTACAAAGTGCCCATGGCTGTTGCTGTGGATCAGGAGCGACATGTATGCGTCTGACATGGCTAGGGGGGGTGTCGTCGTATTCGCTGGCCTGCCCGTGGCAGCCTGATTAGTACATGTGCCATAGAAAGCTGACATGCTGTGGCCTGTTATTTCCGGGGCATATGGTGCGGAGACAGCCATGTTCGGCACGCTCGAGTTATCAGGCCTCTCCTGACTGGCTTGGGGGCAGAGGAGGAGCATGGAGATCTCCATCCGCATGCGGCGCGAGTAATAGGATGCAGGCTCGGTGAAATCCGGCTCGGAAAACGAAGTGTGAAGAGCCAACACGAATGATCGGGTGCACATATCGAGCAGTCTGCGTTGGAACTCTATGGGCTGCGGCGGTTTCATTGCATTGAGCACTTGCATATTGGCGTTGCATGCCTCGTTGAGCTCAGCTCCGATGCGGTACGCTTCATGCGAAGTCTTTGGCGTCCTTGGCATGTTGGCTAAATGTAGGATCCGTAGCCGAAGCCGCTGTGTTTTTGCTAAAAGCCCCAGAATGGTTGTGGGTGTGAAGCCTTGTTGGTTAACCCCTCCTTCAATGTCTTCATCCAAGATGTTTGATGGCGGCTCGCAGTCATAGCCGTCGGGAGCAATTGGGGCCGGTAGTCCTTCAGCCAGGCACGACTGCAAAGACAGTTCTAGCATCGTGGCCCACAGGCGGCGATGCATCTCTGCATCTTTTGTTGATCCATGAGCTCCCTTTGTTACTGGCTCGTGAAAGAGGCGCATCCGGATTCCTACTCGGGCCGGATTATCGTCACTGAACATGAACCGGGAACCAGCTGAGTCCCCAGACTGGGCCTGCGTGTGCCGTGCCAGAGTCAGCAGACACATGAGCTGGGCTATTTCGAAGTTCTCATGTGTGCCCGTGACAATCTTGCGTGACAAAAAATCCCTTGAATAGGCGATCCAGCCCGCGGCCTGCTCCTGCAAAGCACACCCCGAGTCATTGAGAACATGCGGTCCGAGTGACACGCATGACCCAATAGCAATGGCGACAAAAAGAGTACACACAAACGTATCGTCTGCATCATTCCGTTGTGATCGAGCACGATCCCAGAACTGCTCGTATCTCTGCATGAAGGATGGAACGTGGAGAATGCGCAAGGCCGACTCAAAGCTTTTGAAATATGCGTCGAGGAGAGTGTCACACTGTGTTTTTGGCGGCAACATGTCCCACACTGGATTAGCCTGGAAGGCTAAATTCTTGTGAGGCCAAGCAGTGAAGGTCATCTTGCTCTCAGTTGCCTCAATTGCGGTGCGCTCCAGCTTGGCAAGCGTACCCATGAGTGATTGGACGCTTTCAGACCCTGGTGGCAGCTGGTAATGGCTGTCCCGAGTGCGGTCGGCGAGTCCGCGTAGGAGTGACCGCACCCCTTCGGGTTGTATATGTAGGTTGTACGGCTGCGTTGTATCAGGTTCAAGATTTGACAGCTGCTCCGCCAGTATACTGGAGCTTGAGCTTGTGGATGGTGGGAACAGTGGCTGCATCGGCATCTCCATCGGACTATCGGTCAAGGATAACGAAGGAAATTTTGTGCCGGTCAAGAGAGGTGGAATCGTGATATGCTTTGGATCAAGTCCGCGATTGGAAAAGTCGAAGATGGCGTCAAAGATGTTTTCATTCGATTCCGTGTGAGAGGACGTCACGGCATCGAGAGAGATAGTGTCCAGGTTCAGCATGCTCTCCCCGAACATTGTTGACCCGTGAATGGAGATGTAGTGACCCGAGTGGGCCATGGGAGCAAGGGTTGTGGGTTGCTCCAGGTGAGCCTCCAAAGTCTTCGTCGGCTCGCTTGGTTTCGGGTTGGTCCAGTCAGCCCCCTGGTTCGTATTGCCGTTGCGATCGTTGTTGTAGATGCACTTGAGGGCGGAGCGAGACTTGCTACACTGCCCACAAGGCGAGGCAAGATCACAGCTGATCTTCCTCCTCCGACATTCGGTACAAGCGACGGCTGGCCGTCTGCGCTTGTGGGCTGGGCCGGGATCCATAGCACAAAGGCTTGAGCTCAATTGGAGAGAATATGTTGCCAATGCTTGGAGGAGACAAGCTTCGTGGAGACAAGCTTTGTGGCGGCAAGCCTTTGCGGTCGCAAAAGTGCCAACCTCACTGCCTAGAAAGCCAAGCGAGGCTTAAATGAGGCGGAATCAGCGGACTTTAGTTGGCTTTCAAAATGCTGGAAGAGAGGGAATTGCTCTCAAGAGTATGTGAATTGGCCAAGCGGGCACATTGGGATCGCAGATGAGTAGACAACAGCCAAGCCTTGGGGAGAAACTGTAGGTATTATAGCCTCTTTGAGCCTGCAAGCATAGTATAGCATACCCGTAACATCGTGTCGTATTGGCTTCGCTTTGCTTTGCCTAGCATATGCAGTAGTGTTGATTATTGCAGCTCTAGCTGCATATTACGCTAGCTTCCAGAGGCTTGCCATGCAATAGTATACGCGATTCATTTAGCTGTAAGAATCCTACTGTTATTTATTTATTGGATCTATATCAAGATATCGGGAATCTACTCCTTTGGCTAGCGCGCTCCTACAGCCGGTAGTCAAAGCAGCCATTAGGCAGAGCAGCTAGCAGTAGTATGTCTGGAGAGCTGCACCTCGTCTTCAGCGCCGTTTACGAGCTGTCAGTAGTGTTTCTATTTTTTGCCAATCAAGAGGCGTACAAGTGCGAGTAAGATAACAAATAAAATGCATGTTGTTACGAGCAACAAGAAGAATTCTCTCCCTAACATTAGGCAGACAATCAAAGGACCGAAGCAAAGGGTTGCAGTCCGTCAGGTCCAAGTCAAAAGGCAATGATCCGCGTGGGGGCGCGCAAGTCATGTAGTTGGTATCACGCCAGGGCTAACCATCCGAGGAGAAGCAAGACGCCTAGGGGTACGTACACCCAGGTTAAGTTGGAGTTGGGTAGAGGTTAAGTTAGGGTCAGCTCGTGCTTAGGCAAAGGTTGGGTAGAGAGACTCTATTGGCTTGTGATAATATGTAGATAGTGATATCTAAGCCTATTAGAGCCTAGATATTACGTTAGATAATATAAGCTTAGTAAGATATAATAGTAGTCTTCAACGTTAAGAATCAGCAACCTGGCTAGATTAACAAGCTGGTCACCCTACCTGTAACGGGCTGAACGCTCTTTGCATAGCTCCTTGATGGAACCATGGTTCACGCTGAGTACACAATATCTGAACTACGTTTAGACGACGAGCGCAGAATCTGGGTATTACCCCGAGCACTTGCTAGATTCTGCTTACTGTCCGAGCAGTGCTTAGATAGCCTACTCAGACAACGCGCTGAGATACTCTGGCATGGCCTTTCTCTCCGTAACGCCGTTTCTACTATCTTACTAGATATATTTTACAAAACACTAACGTAAAGCTGACTAGCCTTAGTATAGAGCTAGAGAGAGAAGCATAGAACACAAAACCTATATAATAACCTACCCAAACAGTACCGCCTTAGCTATAAGAAATAGGGTATCATATGCTAGTTGCCCAAACGCTAGAAAACACATAGTACGAGAAAATTGAACTCCGAGTTCGTGGCTACTTTCGTGCTCTTTGTTGTGGTGCCGTGTAATTCAATCCGAGTCATAGCCTACTAGTGCTGATAGCAAAGCAGGTTTCTTGGCTGGTGTCGCATCACCAGTTTCCACCGGCAATGGTGTAGAGACTTCTTCTTCAGCTGGGGCATCTCGCTTCCTCTTCAAAATGCCCAGATTAATTCTCGACACCTGTCCGCTGTCTTTTGACAGAAAAGGGTCGATTGCTGCTCGCGTGTTGCCAATAAGCGTTTGTTGCAATCCCTGTCGATTTTTCTCTGCTGCCAGCTCTGTCTTCAGCTTTCTCGTCTTTGTAACAGGCTTAACAGTCTTCGTAGTATCTTTCTCCTCGAAAATCGGCTTCCACGACTGTTGCTCGAGTTCTCGGTCGCCCGAAGCGCTTGCACCAAAATCGACTAAGCCGGCACGCGTCCGGTCTGCCTCTGTCTCGTCCGCAATATCCAGTCCAAGGCTAAACTTTGCTTGTATACCCTCTTTTTGCATCTCTTCCTTCTTCCAGACCTTTCTCTTCACACGGAAATCTTTCCTGAGTCGTGCGTTCACGTCGTATGGGTCTCGCCAGACTTCGCTTTGATCGTAGAGCTCCTCCACCCTTTCTTTATGTTTCTTTTCCGCGTTCTTATCTTCTAGCTTTCCCTCAAGGCTCGCAAAAGCATCTTCCCTCCGTCTCTGGCGTTCTTCATCGGTTAAGAATTTGAGCTCTCCCTCAGCTTCCGGTCCTTTGTCTCCCGGTCCGTAGTCTCGCCGCCGCGCACCTTCAACGACTTTGTACTCGCTATTCTTTGGATCGGTCTGAATCTCCCACCATCCACCGCAGGCACTGTGCTTCATACGAAAACTCCATATTGGTGTGCTGTAATAGTTACCTACCTTCTTCTTTTCGGCATTGAAACGCACGCCCTGGCCGATGATGGCTGGAGGGGTGCAGTGGTCGCACCACACGGCAAAGGGAAGCTCGAAGCGAACAGTGAGGATGCCCTGGGAGATCTTGTTTGCACGTTTGCCGAGAGGATGCGAGTTATTGTTGAAGCTCGGCGGGTTGGAGGCATCTGGCGGATAATACCGCCCCATGTTGAAACCCTGCATCGTTGCGGGGCGTGATGCGGGGAGGGCGCGACGTGCGCTATGTCATAGGGAACTGGTGTGTGAACGGTACGAGGTTAGACTCTCGATGCGGGAAAGACGTTTCGCCGCGGAGGTGGATGACATAAGCAACCACTCCGATTAGTTGCATCGTCGTCGGTCTCCAGTTATGCCGATGATCAGACAGCCTTGCGATGCCCAAACGTGACGTCACCTGTAATGTGCGAATCGGTGGATTTACAGTTGTTCACATCCCAACGCCCAAGCTATGGCTAGCGGCGTAAGAAATTACTCGACTTGGAAGGTCATTTAAGGTTTCTCGTTGATTGTAGCACTAAAAGGCTTGTCTCTTTCTGCGACATGATTAGGGCCGAAACGGCAAAATATGCCCAACTTGAGTTTGCACGCGTCATTTCCAAGTTGAGGGCCTCAACGTGCAACGATAGAGGGAAGCAGTCGAAAAATGCGCTTGATCATATTCTTTTAGATGACAGGTTTATCTTTTCCTCGCATCCATGACGCCATCCAGCTGGTTATCAGAACCAAGAGTAGTCGCGTCGCCCATCTCACAACCTTGTCCTCCCTTCTTCCTCTATGTGACACTGTCGAATAATTTAAGCCTCGGGATCTGTGATGAGCTTGGTGATCTTTCCAATGGCAATCGTTTGACCCTGGTCACGGAGAGTGAAACGACCAAGCTGAGGGTAGTCTTCGAAACGCTCAACGCAAATGCTTCCAGCCGTACCGGTAATCTGCAATCGTGCAATGATGCTCATGCCCTTTGTCGCAAATCCAGGTGCTTTCTTGGATCGCCTTCCAGTGCCCTTCTCGAGCTTATGGAGTAGTGCACTGATGGTGACTTCTTCCTGTGCTGCGTGGACGTGAAGCACACAGTTGAAACCAGCAGTCACGATGGACTTGATGTCCAAAAGTACGACCTGGGCCTCAAACTGAGAAACGCAGTGAACGGGTCGCTTAGGTGAGCACAGCACGTAGCCCTACGTAGTTGCATAATCAGTGTCCAGCCTAGTAACGTAGTCACAGAATCACTTACGGGCAAAATGTCTTCTTCTTCCACACCTCGGATTCGCACGCGAATTTGGTCACCACAAGCCGCGCCAGGAATTTCGTCTTCCTGCTCACCGAACAAGGCGGAGATGTGAATAGTTTGTCGGTTGGGCATCATAAGGTACCTTGCAACTGTCAGTGTGTTTCAGATAGATCTCATACAAACGACTTACTTGTTCTCCTTCTTGATGATACCGGATTCGATCTTGCCTTCGATCATGGTGCCCATGTCCTTGTACTTTGCGGCGATGGGCATCATGAAAGGAGCATTGAGCTTGCGCTCAAGGGCTTGCATGTTGTCTAGGTACTCAAGCAGAGATGGTCCATCGTACCAGGGTGCAAGATCCTACGAGTAAAATGGTCAGTGCAGCCACTAACATAGGTCTCTATTAGTCTTACCTTGGGCACACGGGTCTTGATTCCAGTGAAGGTTTGGGCGCTGACAGGCATCATGCTAATGTCAGTCTTGGGGTTGTATCCAAGACCCTTCAAAAAGGCTACGACCTTGGTTGTGCACTCCTTGAATCGGTCCTCTGACCACTCGACGGTAGGGTCGTCCATCTTGTTTACGACAATGAGAATCTTGTTAACACCCTGTGTCTTAGCCAACATGGCGTGCTCTCGGGTTTGTCCGCCCTTTTCGAAACCAGTCTCGTACTCTCCCTTTCGAGCAGAGATGACGAGAATACCAACATCTGCCTGTGAAGCACCACTGATCATGTTGGGGACATAGGTCTTGTGGCCGGGGGCATCGAGGATCGAGTATCGTCGCTTCTCTGTCTCAAAGAAACCTCGACCAACCTCGATAGTCTTACCCTGCGCACGCTCCTCCTTGTTCAAATCGAGCGCCCATGAAATGTACCATGTTTCTCGACCAGCGTCCTTTGCCTCCTTCTTGTACTTGTCGAGGGTTCGCTCATCAACCATGCCAGTGGAAATGAGGATACTGCCACCCAAGGTAGACTTTCCTGCATCAACGTGACCCAAGAAGATGATGTTGACGTGCTCCTTGCCGTAGATTTCGGCGAGAGTCGCCTCGTCGATGTCGGCGATTTCGTTCTCAATGTCTGGTTGCTTGGCGATTGGCCTTTCAGGGGCCTTCTCTTTGGGGGTTGGACTGTTGCGACCTGACGAGGGAGTTGGCGAAGTACGACCAGAGCCTGCTGAAGCTGGAGTGGGTTCTCCGGTCTTCTCGATAGCCTTTGCGGCAGTCACCTTGGTTCCAGCGTCGATGGTTCCCTTCTCCTTATCGGCCTTTTCCTTGGCAGCAGATGGAGCCCCTGGTGTTCCGAGACTGAGGACCTTGGTTCCGCCTGCCTTTTCAACCTTTGGAGTAGTAGTGTCGCCACCGATAGAGAGAACCTTGGCCTTTGGTGCACTGTCGCCGCCAATGGACAGAACCTTGGCCTTGGGTGCCTCCTTTTTGGCTTCAGCAGCGGGTGTGGCGCCCGCTGAGCCGGCAACATCTGTGTCTCCCCGCTTCGCTATCCGCACAGGAGCCTGGCCCTGGCCTTGTTGTTGCTGCTGGGGCTGGAAGTTCTGCTGGCCCTGGTACTGGCCGTAGTTGGGGTAGCCGCCCTGCTGGCCATATTGTTGGCCGTATTGAGGGTATCCTTGTTGCTGCTGGTAGTACTGGCCCTGGTTTGCGTACTGGTTGTATCCTCCATACTGCTGGCCATACTGGTTGTACCCACCCTGGTAGCCTCCGTAGGGCTGGCCAGGCACGAAAGAGCTCGCGCCGGGCTGGAATGACTGCGCTCCGGGGGTGAAGGTGGGCGCATTGTTGAGGTTCATGCCCTGCGCTTGCTGCGAGAGGCGCTCCTCCTCTTGCTCCCAGTTGTCCGCCATGGTGATGGCGCTTTTTTCTTTAAGAGGTGAGGGCTGAGTTGGGACGGAGAATGCGCTAATGGCCGGGGATGGCGGGCGTATGAGAATGCGCAGAGAGGCCGTATAGGTATCTAGGCAGCCCAGGAGCGACGGGAGGGCTAAATAGGCTGGCGATCGAGTGTCGTCGGCGAGAAGCGAAAATGTTGCCGTGTCGTTGATGCCCACGCAAGGATTTGGCGGGGTTGTTCGCAGTGGCGCAGTGGGGCTGACTCAGGCTTGAGCTGCCCTCGCTGCCTAACATTGGCCAGGGCGCCCTCGCTGCGACTGGCACCGCAGCCAGCAACGAACAACAAAGCCGCTCACAAACAATAAGCCATGACACAACCCTTTTCCATATACTTCTAGTATTTCGTCATTCTTTTCGCCTCCTCCCCTCGCAGCTTGCGCATTCACCCGGTTCCATGATCTCATTGCTGCTCTTGACTTGCTTGTTCGCCGCGTCCGCATAGTAATCCTCCAGGCGACGCTCATCTTTATTGGTCAAGATGGATGTCCTACTCTCAAAGGTATGACTGTTTTCTGACTCTTTGTACGCCTGCAGATGACCGTAGAGCTGCATGTTCGTTCCCTCTTGCTGCCAGCAAACTGACAATATGCCAGGTCACCCAGCAGGCTATGAGCTATGCTATCAGAAGCGGCATAGCAATCACCAGTCACTATGCACTCAAGCAGTGCGGCCGTCTAATGAAGACTGTCGATGGCCAGGAGAAGCAGGAGCTTGCTGCCCTACAGATGAGGTTGGATTCTAAAATCAACATCATATCCCCTGCCATCGACATGATCGAATTAATAGCAGCGCGTGGCAATACATCGCTGGAATCCGCCGTCGGTCTGACCAAGTCGCTACGGTGGGAAATCCAGACACTAGGTAGTCGAGTTGAGAAGGCCGTAGTCGAGGAGCAGCTCACCAGGAGAGGAAGCTCGAGAGCAAAGTCACGCGACCAAAACATCATCGAACTAAAGGTGATCATCAGAGACATGAAGCGACTATTGGAGCGCATCGAGGATGCAGTGCCGCTAATCAACCTTGCCATCACCACATCTGGTGTCAATCTCTCCACCACGCTACCGGCTACAGTGTCGCCGTCAAGGCTATTGCAAGCAAGTACTTTCCTTACCTCTGGCGACATGCAGTACTGTGCAAACAAGCCTAGAGCCCAGCAGATTGGACCAACGTTCACCCTATCCATGTACATGCTATTCTCTGGTCATGCAAACCGACCTCACGAAGAAGATTTACGCGAGACGACTTGGAAAGAAGTCATGCACAAAGCGCGTGTCACGCTTATGAGAGTGCCGCTGGATAATGTCTACGACTACCCTACACCCTTTGGGCAAGACAGTAGCCGAGCTGACGAGTCAAGTCACCGTCATATACCATCCGAAAGTATTCTACAAGAATTTGCATACCAGCTGCTCATTGTCGAGGACTTGGACGACGGTCGCATGCACGAGTACGAAGACGGCGAGCCACAGCCTGAGCCCTATGATGGCATTCGTGAAGCTGGTGTGAGAGAGATCATACCCATCCACGAAGTTGCCAAAATCTTCTATGCCGATACTGGTAAGATTCTTAACATTGGTGCTGACGGCGAGAGCAACAACCCCATCTTGCTACTCAAGAGAGACGTCAATGCAGCACCCCCGCGGCGCATGATGGAGCGAGATACGGATGATACTAATTATGAATCTGATGATTCCCAAACTATCGGCGGTGATGAATCAGATCTAGAGCAAAGTCAGCTCGAAGACCAACTGCGACGCGAATCAACTCCAAACCCAGAACCACCAGCCCCACAAGAGCCAGAACCACCAACGTATCCCTGGCGTCTGCCTCCCACTCTGGATCTAGAATGGATGGCCTTTGAGGTGTACACTGAGGACCCATTGACCGATTCCGAGATCGATGAGACAGAGGACTTGGAAGAAGAGGTCTCATCGCCTACTCCAGCGGATCGGCCAGCCCACAACGACCGTTCAGATTCTTCCTCCTTCCTCGGCCGCTTCTCAAACCTTCATTTACAACCCAGCACACCGACAGATTCGCCAAAGTCCACACCGCATAATCAAATCATCCCGTCACCGGAGAAGGTCTCGGCGCCAGTACCACAGTACACGCAAGCTGCACCAACAAGCCTGCCCGCCATCAAAACTTCGTTATCACTCTTGGAAATGCTTATCCGTTTGACTGCGCTGCAGCAATTCCAACAGTCATCCCACCTCGCAATTCCAGACGAATTTCTAAACTTCTTCTTATCGGACAGCAGCACAGTAGGTGCGGGTGGCGACGCTGAAATGCGCCGGCGCGTACGCCGCGAAGCCCGCATGCGAGTTGGATTTGATCCCTACGATGAGAGTCCGATCAAGCGTCGGGGCGAGGACTACCTCGAACACGAGTTACACGACGGCTATGATCCAGCAACTCCAGGAGAAGATGGCGCCGGTCCATCATACGATTATGATGGATATCCAATTGCCCGGAGGTCTTCATCCGCGTATTCGCGCTCTCGCCCGGGTACGCCGGGTCACTCGTCGTCAACGTACAGCGCGACTCCCGTATCGAACGCTCATGCTGCATATTCCGCAGCCGATGTGTCAAGTTCAAGCCGATTGGGTATGTCTCACGGAAACACAGCATCGCCGAGTCCACTGCTGCGCCGAGCAACGACGCAGCCTGGCGGTCAACTGAAGACGCTCAAGCAGCCCAGTTTCCGAGCTCCAGCTCCCTCACGCCACGGACATGATGGTGTATCTAGAGGAAACTCGTTTAGAGGCAGTGCACCGCCGGATACGCCGCCGGGGACTGTAGAGAGGTAAGATGACGACATTGAGCGGGAACAAATTACGTATGGTATTCAAAATGAGGTGGAATGGACCATGCAAGTAAACTGCTTTTTCGTGAAAATTTGCACAGAGTCAGCCATCATAAGCTACATGCGAGACAGGGCGTTTTATACCACTTTGCACGATTTCCAACGACCCAACATAGAACTAGATAGAAATATCACAGCATAGACCGGTAAAGGCGCAATACACGTATTTTTTCAAAAAAAAAAAGAATAGGGAGCATATAGATTTCATTCTCATGTGCACCCCCGTATTTCCTGTAAAGGAATCTGAAGACCCTAAACTACTTAGTTCCACCAAGGGAATCTGGTTATGAAGCAACGCCCATAAACGCCTGTATGCCAGTCCGATAGTGATATTCCGCCCGTGCCATCATCTTCCATCACGGTTTAAAAAAAATCAAGAGAAAGAAGAAGATTTACTCCCAATCTTCCTCGTCACTTTCCTCGGCAACCGCCTTCTTCTTGTCGTTCTGGGGGCTTCCTGGTGCGCGGCTGGTTGCTCCGCTCACAAGATCGTAACTGGCATCGCTGTCAGCTACGCTCTTTTCATCGTTGGAGCGGCGCGGTTGGGTAGCTTGTGCTTTGGTTTCGCTCGCGGGCTTGAGTGTGTTGACTGAGGCGGCGAGATCCTTAGCAGCGGGTTTGGGTGTGGTTGCTGTGGGGTTGGAGGTAGCAGCTACAGTTGCGTTGTCGTCCGAGTCTTCATCATCGTCATCGTCATCTTCCTCTTCTTCGGATTCCTCCTCTTCTTCATCTTCATCCTCGTCCTCGTCCTCTTCTTCCTCGGAGTCCTCGTCCCATGCGACCTCTTCGTCAGGAGCGGATGTGGAAGCTGGTTGGTGTTAGCACGCCTGTGTTGTCTTGTAGCACAGATTATCTTCGCTCATAACATACCCTTCAGCATCTCTCTCCTCCTCTGTTCTTCGCTCTCGATGACGTGGCGCAGGAAGTAGTACCTGCACCAAAAGACCTTGTACTCCACCTTCTCTGGGACGCACTTCTCCATGGCACTCCTCAACTCCTCGTGCTTCTCCAAATCCTTGGCAATGGCATCCGTCTTGGTTTCCGCGTCGAACGAGGCCTTCCACTTCTCCCACTCTGGGCTGGCGGGGTCTTTGAGAAAAGAGTCGAGGGTCGAGTGGATCACGTGAAGTTGGGCATCAAAGCGCGTAGCGTGGACGACCTTCTTTCCGCTGCTGTCCTTGGACTCGAATAGAACATCGCCGTTCTTGGCAGCTTCAGAGCCAGACTCGGGCGGCGCAATAGTAACGGCGTCACGGAGGAAGTTGCGGATATTAGCGCCAAACTTGAGCAGGGCTTCGTCAGCCGCATCTTCTGCCTTCTCGACGTCCTTGAGACGCTTCGCGGCTTCTGACTTGAAGATCGCCAGCATTCCCTCTGCCTCCTTGACAACATCTGCAACCAGAGATTCGGGACGGTCTGGGTGTGCTTCTATCTCTTCCTTTGCCTTGTCTTCTTTTGCCTTCTCTGCAGAGTCATCTTGCCCGGAAGAGACGGATTTGGAGGCCGACGATTCGCTAGGCTGAAGGGAAATCTTTCGGGCATGACTGATAATGTTGGAGACGCTCGCTGTCGCGTTCTTGGTCAAGGGCGCATATTGCTTGCTCGCACTATCGTAATACTGCTCACCCTGTGTCGCGTGGTGTCAGCGGCTGGTTGATCAGACTCGCCCTTGATGCGACTTACCTGCTTCTTCACGTTGCCCAAGAAGCCTCCTAGCCTCGCCGCCCATGGACTGCTTGATATGGCCTTGTATGCATCCTGGAACTCAGCGTTGAAGTTGTTGGCCGTCTCGTTGTGGGTGCTGTCTCCGCCTGTGGACTGCTTAGTGGGGTAGCTCTCCTCCTGGATATGGTCGTAGGCGGAATCCATGGCTACGATGCTCCAGAAGAGGAGCGATAGTACGAAGGTGTGCAGGCGGTGAGGTTAAGGATATGAGTCGTTGGTCAGCTGCATCAAGGGTTCAGAGCAGTACGAGCGGGGCCATGCATGATGCTCCGCAAGCCAGTGCGCTAGCTTTCGGGTGCGTATGTGCGCGGTCAGGTACAAGGCCACCATGCATCAACATAAAACAGCAACAGCCTGTCATGTGACGATATTAGACAGCAGATATGACACTGGTACTTGGATTTGCTTTTCAGAGTCCCTGAAATATCTTCCCTATCTCTCTCCAACATGGTGGTTGGCAGCCGCGTTGTACATAGCACGCCTATCACACCATCTGCCATGGGCACTGCTCGCAGACCCGCCTCCGCCAGGCAAAGCCTTTTCTATGATGCGCATTGTTCTTCTTCATCGCAAGTCATCCGCAAACACATACCTCCCTTCACCTCTTCTTCTTGCCAACAACTGTCGTGAAACCATCCTCGTCAACCTCTGGCTCCGGCTTGGTCTTTGGCTTTGCGGGCACGAGCGCAGGCGCATCCGTCATCTCCGTGTCGTCGTCGTCTTCGTCGCTCTCCTCATCCACACTATCCCACTCGCCCTCTTGGTTGGTCTCCTTGACGTTTACACTGCCAGTCGCAACCTCTTTTCCTTTTCTCGCCTCCCACTTCTTCTGTAACGCATCCACCGTTGCGGTACTGCCCTCGCCAATTTCTTTGCGTATTGTTATAATTTCACGCGCGACTGCGACTTCAGTATCGTCTTCTACTCGCACACCAAACTCATCCTCGAGGACCTGCAGAAGCATGATTTCCACATCTTCCGCATCGGTCAGAGGCTCTGCTGCAAAACGCTCCGAAATCTGACCTGCAAGCCAGTCGCGCTTTTCTGAAGAATCAGGACCGCCCCATTGATTTTGTACAGCGATGGTGAGGTTGGCCCAGTTGAAGAGCGCGTGCCAGATGCCGAGATCGAACTTTTCTTGGTGTTCCTCTGGACGAAGGCGTTGTTAGACATGTCTATGCACACGTAGTTGTTTCTCTACTCACCAGCAATGGGCCCGAATACCGAAGTCATGTTGGGTGAGATGTTTGCTGCGAAGAATCACTGAGCGCGAGTTTGCGTCACTCTGGAATAACTTTTTGAGATTCTTATCGATAAGCAGCCCCTCCATTTCCTTCGCCACACTAGAGAACATGATGCGCATGGGCTGAGTGCTTGCCTATATGCGGTCATGCTTGCAGCAAAAGATACTCAACGAGTGTACTCCAATAAAAAGATGGCATTTGAATAGTAGGCTGACTCATTTGTCTGACATGGTGGTGCATTGCATATGTCGTAGTCAACTGGCCTATCTAGACTTCCCAAGGCTTTGCAGCATAATATGTTTACATACAAATAGGCTATAGTTTTGTTGCAGTATGTAAGACTGTGAGATCTGCTATAGCTACTGAGCATATTTCTCATATGTGCTACTAAACTAGCTGTCGACTTCACTATCCTGTGGTTTTAATCTGCGCAGCCTACTTATCCACCGTCATCGCATAATCAGCGGGACTAGTATGGCTCCGATATTAAATTGAAAGAAAAAAAGGAACCTTCGCCCGGTAGCAGGACTAAGTAGAAAAGAAAGGGTATCAAGTTTCAATGTAGCTACAGAAGCCAATATCGAGATTAATAGAATAGTCACGATCACCAGGACAACTAGCATCATTGTTGGGCGTAGTAATACAGGCGCTACCTAAGTACTATTTTCAATTAAATCAAGCTCCGCTAGAGTGCTTTTCTTTTTGCAAGATCGCGTGTTGTATGAGCAAGCATAGCCTACTGTCGCTCAAAATACAAACAGCTCCTCAGAGCTGATTGTCCATCAACGAAGCTTAATTTAACTAGACGTCCTAATTTGGCCTTGTACAGTGCATAGAAAGGAACTCCATATACATACTCAGAAATAAGACAATTACTTAGGAGCTGACTTTTGACTAAATAGAGCTTAGTTCTTACCCTGATATCAAATTTATTCTCTTTACTTGACGACAACGCTAATATTGGCAATGAATGTTCGTAGATGAATAGATTTATGGTACGATTCACAAGCGTTTACAGAATCTAGAACTTCACAGACTAGGAACATACAGCGTGGACTGGCTAAGTATCGAGTTATAAGACGTTGCTTGCTGCTGAAAAATTAGACAAGATACTAAACTATCCATCTCACTTCCCTACATCTCTCAAACACTTAACTTACACCCCGAAATTTACAGCAATCCGCCACGATGAAGACTACCACCTTCCTCACGACAATCGTCCTCCTCACCCCAACCGTCTTTGCTCGATGCCTCTTCATCGGCGCGGGCAACGGTCAAACTTGTTCCTCGTCTGTAAGTACTCTATTAAACGTATTACATGATCCCAGCTAACCATTCACTCTAGGGTCTTGTCTATGCGGTTAGTAAGCTAATAGTCTATACGAGTTAACAGTGCTGACACAAAACTTATTAGTGCGATAATGGAAGCACGCCTGGTCCCCTCCCGCCTAGTGTAACTCGTTGCGGTATGTTTATGAATTCGCATAGTGTGGTATCTAATAGCTGATCAATTTGTGTGTTTAGTTCTCATTCCAAACAGCACTGCGTATTGCTGCAGCACCGCCTAAGAGGTCAACTATTCGGGTGGCGAGTAGAGTTGGTACTTTTTATTAGATCTTTTGTACAATCAAAACTCCTGTATTGCATTGTGGTGGAGAAACCAAAGGATATAGTAGAAGAAGGCCCAGAAGGTACTCAGACATGGATATAGTGTAAGGTACGAAGGGGACGGAACAACAACAACAGATACACACACCAGCCTACAAGTCTGAAAGGCATTCGGACTTGGACAATACATTTGTTTCATGCATGCAGATTTTAGTATTTTCCACTAGTGAGAGCGATGGAGCCTATAATGCGTTGGGGGCAGCACAAAGGTCCCCAAAGACATAAAGTTTGGCAAGTTGGGTGAGTGAGCGTCCCACCACTGTTGGAAATGACAAAAAGCACCCTTAGTTTCTGGGAGCATGAATGACTTCACAACGAAGCCGGCTATGGCACGGTAGCATCGTCGGGCCGTAAGGGGGGTGAGTAGTAGCGCAGACTAAAGCACGCTAAAGGAGCACAATTGACAATTTGTGGCTGGACTGCTATTTGACGAGGCTGTGTTGTTTAGTGAACCATTCTTCAATGACCAAGCGAGCTTGTCCCCCCTTATGCCACTGAAGTCATAGTCTTGCGTCATAGGAGTGTGATGGACGGCTGGCGCCACTTGACTCATCAGGTGTTCTTATGACATTTACTACTAGAAAGGTTGCGGATGTGATGCTCTTAGAAAAGCGAGATGTAGGCATTCTTGACTAGTCTCTAAACTGCGACGTTGGAGCAAAGCGGTACTATGGGTGTGTGTGTGTGTGGGCCGCAACCAGTCCGCGACGCATACGGCGGCACAGTCTCTAAAGGTTGCAGATCAGGATGCAAGCAACCACGGCAGATGGCAGCCAAAGCGCATGTCGGGATGTGTTCAGGGATGGTGGTGCAGATCGGGAGCTATATCGCGGAGATGGCGTCCAAAGTCGCCAGCGTTGACGTCATGGCCGTAGCTAGACCCTGAGTGCCCTGCTTGTCTCTACAGTCCAAGCGTCGATCTGAACTGGAGCTCAAGAGCTTAAATCCATTTCGAATCCCTCTCTCTGGACCCTGATTTTACACGATTGACAACTATCTGCATGGGGATCCACTGTTTCGTCCGATAATACCTGCATATCTTACTCCCAGTGCACGCACCCCACTTCAACCGGACCGAATCCAGTTAGAGCGGCGTGAAGCTCATAATACCCCTACGCTTCTCCTAAGCGCGTTCACTTTCACGCCCCTCCTCAAACACATTCAATTCCTATCTGTACATATTAATACGCTACACGCAAAATGTCGGCGCCCACCTCTGCCACGAGTGAAATGCCATCACGCACATTCACCAATCGCTCAGGCGATGATGATGCCATTCCAGGAGAAGATACTTCGGAGGTAAGCCGTTGGATGTCCACTCGAACAAACACGTCGCTAACAAAAACACAGGTAACCAGGCTCTTTGCAGAGCGGTTACAAGCCTGGAAACATGCAGTCGGCTACCTTGAAGACTACATTACCGCGACCGAGAAGACGAACCATGCACACGGCAAGGAGTATGAGCGGGTTTTGAAGGTTTGTGCTACATGTGTATCTCTTCTACACATACGCTAATGCGAAGTAGACGGTAAAAGACCCACTGAAGGAGGGCCACCACTTTGACCAGTCGCTTGGTGGGGTTGCAGGCATGTTTGAAAACATCCGATCAAACACCCAGGTATGCTGTTCCGACAGGAGATAACTAGACTCTGCTGACAATGATAGGGAATCTCCAACCAACACTACGAGACAGCCAAGCAACTCAAGAGTGCCATCCTCCCTATCTTCGAGCGTCTACACAGCGAAATTAAGAACAAGAGTAAGGAGCTTACAAAAGGGGCTGGCAAAGGCAGCAAGGCAGTCGATAAGGCCCGCTTGCTCACTCAGAAGCACATTGAGCTCCTCGGACAACATTCTGCCGCATTTGACTCGCATAGCGGCAGTCAGATGAAGGCTACTGACGACCCCTACATCCTAAAACGCGGGATAAACCACCGTCTGTACAAGCAGGTCCAGGAAGAAAACAACAACCGACAAGACCTTATCGCTGTGCAAAACTCTTTCGCACAGTTTGAAGCCCACATTATTCAGGAGATTCAACATGGCATGGGTCAATTCCTGCAAGTCGTCACCACGCAGGCTGAGCACACCAAGGCGGCGTACGGAGACATGGTTGGCACGTCTCAGCGTATTCCTCTCGACTTTGAGTGGAACGGCTTCATTCAGCGCAACAACAATGTTCTCATCGACCCCTCTGCTCCTGCACGAACTCTGGCAGACATCACCTTCCCCAATCAACACCACACCGCGACTCAGCCTCTAATTTCAGGCTCACTTGAAAAGAAGGGCAAGATCATGCGCTCCTATGACACAAATTACTACGTTGTGACGCCCTCCAAGTTCCTGCACGAGTTCAAGACGGACGATGACTTTGCCAAGGACCCCACTCCAGAGCTATCTCTATACCTTCCCGACTGCGTTGTTGGTGCAGTCAACGGCCAGAAGTTCAACGTAAAGGGCAAAGATGTGTCCAAGGGCAAGATTGGTGGTGCCTTCTCCATGACACACGAAGTGGGATTTAAGGCACACACGCCACAGGCTGCACAACAATGGTGGGAGGTAATTCGCCAGGCTGCGGGTACGGTTACTGCCGAGGCGCCTGATGCCAGCGTACCTACGAGCCCCATTTCACCAGTCGACAAGCAACCTGCTCCCCTCCAGACGCAGGGACTGGAGAAGACTGGATCCACTCCGGGCTCTGCTGTGCCTGCTAGCGCCACGACTCCTGCGCCTGTCGAGACGACCAAGAGCTAGACGAATAACCGATGTCGTGTCCGAGGGCTGGAACAGGCTCCTGAAAAGAGAATAGGTTGAATGTTGCTTGTTGACATGTTGGCTTTTATTGCGTATACACATACCCCCTTATACACAGATGCAGTCGTGCTATACCTCCATATCTAATAATGACAATACGCTTTTTACGTATCAATGAATATTTCAGTTCAAACATCAATCCCACATTTGCCGCACATTTAAATTGATCCTCTTATTCGCCATCCACCCAGCCCAGTCCTGATACTCTCCAGTCTGATCGCCTTCTTGCTGTACAGTACTACCAGGCCACAGTTTTAGATATTCAGGACACGTCCCAGCCACAATCTGTGGAACACCATGCCATGCAAACCGGGAGGCCCCACTCATATAAACCGCACTGCCAGACCTCAACCTCAGCATCAGAACCTTGTCGCGCACCTCGCCGTCCTCCTGGACATGCGAAGTGCCAAGCACAAATATAGCATCGCATCCCAAGCTCACGCTGATGAGTCCTGTAGAGCTCGTCTCAGCGACATCGCGATGCACACTCAGCGTATCACCGGGAGAATACAAATTGACAATCGCAGCTTCAGCTTTCGTACCGGGAAACAGGGATTCCAGCATCTCTTTTGTATCCCCCGGAAACGGTGGCGGAGGCGATGCAGGATAGCGCTTTGCGGTCCAGTCGTACTGGCCGCCTAGCGTTGTCCAGCGCAGTTTCTTATTAAGCAGTTGGGCGATGGAGAGGGGTTTGTGGACGCTTGGGTCGAGGGGCGTGGCGATGGTAGTGGGGGAGGAAGGGGGAAGGGAGAAGAAGGAGGAGGAGTGAGAGGGTGGGTAGGAGAGAGTGTAGTGAGTGTGGATGTTTGTGAGATGAGCTGGGGAGGTGAGGTCTCGGTGGAGTAGACGGGATAGGAGGATGGATTGAATTTCTGCAGGTAGGAGAGAGGGGATCATGTGGAGACCTACCGTTTTGTCAGGGCTGGAGGCGGGATGGGAAATGGCGGAGTTTTAGAATAGTGGGTGAAATGCAGGTGTTTCCCTACCTGGCATGTCGTCGTGCTCGTAGACTGGCACTGAGTCGGGGATCGTCATGTCATCCAGGGCTACGTCGTGGCCAGCAAAAGCTTGGAAAATAGCGGTCAAGTCCTTGGTGGCGTACTCTTTGACAACATGGACTTTAGTGCTGGTGGCCGATGCAAAGGCGTCATGGCTCGCCAGGTCAATAATGTCCGGGTCATTGTTCAACGCATCCAACTTCATCTTCTGGTATCTCTTGTAAACATTGCGTATGCCGTCTGGCGGCCGCTCATGGGGATCGAGATGATGCATCCTTGGCCAGGGATATGGTGAAGACTGCAAAGGCAGGCAGCCAACAGGCAATGGCACATGTAAGGGATTGTGGGGGACAGGGGGGGGGGGGGTGCAGTGAGCCATTGACTAATCTCGTGTTTGCGGCTGATGGCGGCGCGTTGCCCGATGCGGCGAGGTGTTTACCCTCTCTGAAATTCCCATGCACAAACACCAACGCCAAACCCTCTCTCCCGCTTCCTGACCCTTCGCAGCGGCTCCGCCCTCGCTCCCTCACGACTACTAACCACAGGTACACGTCACGTGGGATTGTCCAAACGAAGAATCTCGTCTGCCACTACACTGCCCATCTTGGACGCGGCCAAACAAACACGCCTGACCGCTTGTCATCTGAAACATCCGCAATCGGCAGTCCGCCACCATGGAGAACTACCAAAAGTTGGAAAAGGTCGGAGAGGGTATGGAGGCGTCTGTTCCGCAGAGATGGCTGCATATTTTTTACTAACACTCGCCAGGAACCTACGGTGTCGTGTACAAGGCCCGCGACCTGACCACAAAGGACCAGCGCATTGTCGCCCTCAAGAAGATCCGTCTCGAAGCCGAAGATGAGGGTGTGCCCTCGACTGCCATCCGCGAGATCTCCCTGCTCAAGGAGATGAACGACCCCAACATTGTCCGCCTGCTGAATATTGTTCACGCCGACGGCCACAAGCTGTACCTCGTCTTCGAGTTCCTTGACCTCGATCTGAAGAAATACATGGAGGCGCTGCCAGTCAGCATGGGTGGACGAGGCAAGGCTCTGCCCGAGGGCTCTGGTCTCGCCGGCCAGACGCTC